TTACGCACAACATAGGCTATTATTTTATTAAATTGAATAATATTTAAAAATTCCTATTATCAGAAACTGTCACTCAAATTGATACCTTAACAAACAAAAGACTGTAATTTAAAGAATAAAAATGCAAGAGAAAAAACGCGCGCGCGGCAGCGCGCGATCGTTCTCGTAATATTTAAAAATGAGCTTGTTGTGTGTTTACACGTGGTTGTTCAGAAAATCAGCCTCTCTACTTTCCAATACTACTACACTGATCATGTACAGTAATGTTCAATGAAGCCTTACTCGGACGAACGTGTTGCACTCATGGGTTATATGAGTGCAACACGTTCATCCGAGTAAGGCTTCATTGAACACTATACTGTGCGTTCAATTCGTGCGCTTCGTGTAACACGGACAACTATCAATGTGTAGTGAGTAGTGGGGCTGAATTTCAATGGAACGGCTCCACCAATCAGAGACGCTCTACGTCAATCGCCTTTCCTGCAAAATTCAGGCTGGAGTCCCATGACAGCGTTTTGCGTTGCGTTTTGTAACTAGGCCATGAGTGTGAGAGAGATACAGATATAGGTTTGCTCTATTTGCACTCATTGCCTAGTTACAAAACGCAACGCAAAACGCTACCATGGGACTCCAGCCTCACTGCTGGGAGCTAAGGTCCCTTTCACCGTGGAGCGTCACATATTAAAAGATAATAATTAAACTACTCGTGTAGAAATTTTCAACCCTCGTCCTAACCCGGCTGAAACAGGAAATCATTGTTAAGGCCGCAGTCCCATGGCAGCGTTTTGCGTTGCGTTGTAATAAGAGAGAATGCAGCAAACGTATATTTGCGTCTTTTTCTCTCCCATTACGACGCAACGCAAAACGCTGTCATGGGACTCCACCCTTAAGGCGAGAACAGAATGCCTATGAAAATGTGTACGTTAACGTGAACGTGGTCACGTGACCCATTTGAATAACATTGTGACGTCAGCACGTTACACGTTCACGTAGGCTATTCTGTTCTCGCCTTTAAGGCTTAGTCTGGCTTATATTGAGCGTGCTTGATCCAGACCAGGTGGATCCGAACTCAAATTTTGAGTGGACTGAAACTTGGCATTTGCTGCTCCTTGAAAATTAGAGTATGTATATTTCGCAATTGCATAATCGATTACTGTTCATACTTACCTCAGTGGCGTTTGATCCTTCGTCGATTTGAAAAGCAGAATAATGGATGAGAAGTATAATTTATAGTTAAACTAGCGCCTCAGACGGCCTTTGGCCGTCTTTGTTGCTTCTATTCCATGTTCATTTTTGTTCAATTTTTAAAAGTTTTAATGTTAATTTTTTCAATTTAATAATTTTTTAAATAAAATTCTATTTTACTTAAAATATTTTTTTAGCTTAAGTATAAAATTTTCTATTAATTTAATTATATTTTTAATTACAAATTATATAATATTTATTATATATTATTATTTATTTAGTAGTAAAAGAATAATTTCAGACTGCGCAGCTCCATCTCAGTATATGTGAATTTTTAATGTACTACAATTTCATTTGGAAACATGAGTTCGCCCTTCTATTCATAATATTACCGATGCTTAATCTTTTCGATACTTTTCGAGTTACACTTTCGAGTGCATTCGATTCTTTTATCCCATGTCTTTTTTTAGAAAGGATTAATGTACTACAATTTCATTTGGAAACATGAGTTCGCCCTTCTATTCATAATATTACCGATGCTTAATCTTTTCGATACTTTTCGAGATACACTTTCGAGTGCATTCGATTCTTTTATCCCATGTCTTTTTTTAGAAAGGATTAATGTACTACAATTTCATTTGGAAACATGAGTTCGCCCTTCTATTCATAATATTACCGATGCTTAATCTTTTCGATACTTTTCGAGTTACACTTTCGAGTGCATTCGATTCTTTTATCCCATGTCTTTTTTTAGAAAGGATTTAGTAGTAAAAGAATAATTTCAGACTGCGCAGCTCCATCTCAGTATATGTGAATTTTTAATGTACTACAATTTCATAAAAAACATGACATTGTACGAAAACAGATTAGTCTGTGGAGAATTTGTATGTCGATCGAACAGAGCGTTAAGTGTTCATTCCAAAACTGTGTCAGAGAATACTTGGTTTGAGTATTCTCATATCTTGTAGCCACTTGCATCTTCATAACATACTCCTTTTCTGTTGGCCTCAATTTTGAGCAAAGCAGTATCATCGAAGACCAAACTGTTTCCGCACAGAAACTATCGCCGACCAATTTTCATTCTGTCGAGAAATTTGCATGATTGCTGAAGGATTCTAGGCATCATGGAGCGAGGTAGTCCTGAAAACTATTGGTTGCAGATCCAACCTGAAATAACAAAAGGCATAAAGATACCTTATTAAAATTAATCAAGAAACATGTGTTAGTAGGGACAGAGATCCACACTGATTGTTGGAAGGGCTACATTGATCTTGAAGCTCATGGGTATGAGCATCTAACATAGTTAATCACTCTGTTGAATTAACAGAGTTCACCAGTGAAACTGGTGCGTGCACATACCCGAAATATAGAATTCTCATGGCGGGCAATGCGACGTTTTTTATCTCGGGGTGGAATTCACAAAGACAAGCTGGATGAGCACTTGTGTAAATTCTTGTGGCGACGCGAGTTAAAAAATTAGCTGCTGACCCATTTGCTCAACTAATCCGTGACATAAAAACAGTCTATCCAGGTATAATGTTCGTTAGTTCAGCAAATCAGAATAGACGTTATGTAAGTTGCTTATATATATAAAGACATTAAAAAAGGAGTTAAATATAAAAAACAAAAAAGTTGAAAATACGAAAAATACATAAAAAACAAAAAAATGCACTTCTACATCCTCTTTCCGACCTCCTCGTGATGAAGTGCGTGAGTAGTAGGGTGGTCCAAAAATATATTAAGAAAAAAAAGTCGGAATTTTTTTGCTCTCACTCCCGGAATTGAAGTTTGTAGGAAAAAATTACCCCTGTTTTTTTCTTCACAATAAAATAATATTAACCCGTGCCTCAAAGCCCCTCAAATTTCTTATGTATTTTAAATGAGAAAAAAACCATTTTTCGTAAATTTAATATAAAATCTAGAGGAAATTTTTTTTTTTACTCGGTTAAGGATGTTTTTCTTCTAGAGTGTTTAAGGGATAAAACCCTTTTACATATTTAACAAATTTTTATGAATCTATCAAATATTAAATTCATAAAACCAATTGTATTACAATCAATGAGAAAAAATTATAATAACGAATAAAAAATAATAAATTACCGTTTTTTGCTACTTTTTTGAGAATTTTTCAAAAATAAAAAAAAATATAGAAAATAAAAAATTTGTTAAACATGTAAAAGGATTTTATTCCTTAAACACTCTACAAAAAAAAACATCCTTAACCGAGTGAAAAAAAAAAATTTTCTTTAGATTTTATATTAAATTTACGAAAAATGGTTTTTTTCTCATTTAAAATACATAAGAAATTTGAGGGGCTTTGAGGCACGGGTTAATATTATATTATTGTGAAGTAAAAAAACAGGGGTATCTTTTTTCCTACAAACTTCAATCCTGGGGGGTGAGAGCAAAAAAATTCCGACTTTTTGTTTTTTGGACCACCCTATAGTGAGTAGGTTAGAGTTGCATACGATCCGAGAAAATCGTTATTCTCGTTTGACTTCACTCGATTACCAAAAAATTTTACGATCTCTTTACTTGATTAGTCTTTTGTTTATAATTGTATCGTATTGTCCCGTAATAACAAGCGATAACTTCTGTCTTGTGGATTTTTTAATGTTTACTAAATAAATATTTCATTTTCAAATAATTTTGAAAAATGGAAATTGCAGGAGATCAAGATTCAACTACACAAATCGCTGAAGCAAATAAAAAGTTCTTAAGAGCGTTCGATGGTCTCTGAAATTTGTAGGTTATGAGCGACCTACACTTTTCGCCCTACAAAAACGGTACTGCCTGGTTTAAATGACGTGAAATTGGTAAACAATCATTTTCGAACGAGTTTTTCTCTGCACACAAGCACTTTTTGCAAAATCTGAATCCGAATTAATGACAAAAATCTTCTTAATTACCTAAATCCAAAATATTTTGCAAAAAGTGCTTGTGTGCAGAGAAAAACTCGTTTGAAAATGATTGTTTACCAATTTCACGTCATTTAAACCAAGCAGTGCCGTATTTGTTGGGTGATAGCAGTTTGTCGAATGTAATCTAGAAATTTCAGAGACCGTCGAACACCGTTAAATTATAAATTAATTTAATTTAATTATTTATTTATATTATTTATTCATTTCTTAAATTTACATATTTTTAGTGACGGGCAAAATGTTGGTGAGGCTTGTGTTTTGAAATCGAGAAAACGTAAAAATGGTGGTTTATCATTAGATAACTCATCATTAGTTAACTATACCACAAAAATTGTTGCAAGTTCCATGTGGGGAATATTCATGCGTCCCAAAAAAATTGACGAAAAACGAATCGACGCGACAAAAACCTTAAAACACACTATTCACTAGATAGTTCTTTGTCACTTTACATATCAATAATTTATTTATAATTGCTCAATTTTCATAAAATAATGCCAAAATCTACTCTACAATTTTTCCTCTATTATTCCCAATTATTATTATTATTATTATTCTCAATTTATTATTATTCCCAATTTATAAATAGTTTATAATAGTCTTTATAAAACCAGAAAATTATAATATTTGAAAATTTGATGTTCAATTTACAATTCGTTTCAAAAGAAATTATGGTTGCAATTCGTTGTGAATTCGACTTAATAGTTGTTATGCTCTTTTCATTTTGCGGAACAGACTCTGCTTTCGGCTCGACTGCACCCTGAAATAAATAACGCATTTCGGAGGTTCTTCCATATAAAACAGTAAAATACAGTAACTTAACGTATCTAACGATTAATTCTGTATTTAAAAGCTACTGAAAATGCAGAGATTTATTTATCTCTCAACTTCCTTTATATGTGAGATTTCTATAGAATAGGTACATCAAGGTCTAGAGAAGAGGGTTATAAATTTTTTTTTTAATATTAAATGTGACGAAAACAAACGAAAAATTTTTTCGTAAATTTTATATGACAGAGATTTTTAGGTATAATAATGGAATCGGGTTTGAATGCATATTCAATAAAAAAAAATGACACATACGAGGATGAAGAGGAACGAAAACATTTTCAGCGTATTGTTTCTGCATTCAAATATTATAAGTGAGTGATAAATACATTTTTATTTATTTTTTCATTTTATTTTATATATTATTACATAAATGTCTTTTTTATAAGTATTTAATGAAAACAAATACTTTTATATTCAATAACAAATTTAATTTCTATCATTTTTTTTTGTATAATTTTCGCTCTGGAGTTACTATGTATACATTTGCATCGTCTTTTATTATATTCAACGAGATAAATCTTCTCGATTATTATTATAATTTTCAGATTTACAGAAAGAATGTAAATAATTTTAAAAAATTCTAATTAGTTTAAATTTTTATTACAATATTGAGAATAGATATTTGTTATAATTTATTTTTAATCGAAATTGTTTTTATTGATTTTCTGAGTATTGTAATTACTTAGAATTAATTACAATAAATTTCACACTATGAAATTGTATGTATAATAAATTTTTCAAGTACAATAATTATTTTTCCTAATTTCTATGGAATCTAATTATAAATTCTAAAATTTTTAAACTTATGAAATCGAAAGTAATATATCGCACTAAAAATTATAAATCCAAACAAAATAACAGCACTATGGAAAGTAATATAATTGTTAAAAATAAAATATTTATTTTTTATAATTTTTATGAAATCTAATTATTTGAAATAATTATTTTTTAAAATATTTTTTAAATAACGGAAATTTAAATCATCGAATTATTATTTTACATAATTTTAATTTAATGAAAGTTTTATTTCTTATAATTTTTATTGCATAGAATTATTACTTAATATAATGTTTATTTTCTGAGCTTTTAATACGGCTTTATTTTTATATCACCGAATACGTGATTCACAGAATATTCAACGAATTAATGAAAATCTACTATTAAATCAATGAAAATCTATTGTTAATTCGTAAAATATTCTGCGAATCAGGTATTCGGTGGCATGAAAATTAAGATATATGAAAAGTTTATGAAATAAGCATTATATTAAATATATACTTGAAGTTCGTGACCGTTTATTAATTATGTATTATTGAGTAAAAGGCTTATCGGTCGTATTTTTTTTAAAAAAGTAAAAATTCACTTTTTTTATTTTAAAAAATTTTTTTATTAACTAAAGTGTCGTCGTTTTGGGTCGGTACCGACCCATCTTCAGGACTAAAAAACAGAAAAGAATTTCTTAGAAAATTTTTTTAAAAAAATTAATATACCGAATAAAGTTAAGAAGATTTTTAAAAATAAAAAAAAAATGAATTTTGACTTTTTTTAAAAAAACACGACCGATAAGCTTTTAACTCAATAATACATTATATTAAATAATAATTCTGTGCAATAAAAATTATAAGAAATAAAACTTTCATTAAATTAAAATTATGTAAAATAATAGCTCGAGAATTTTAAATTTTGGTTATTTAAAAAATATGTAAAACAGTAATTATTCCAAATAATAATTAGATTTCATAAAAATTATGAGAAATAATTATATATTTTATTTTTTAACAATTACATTACTTCCAATTTCGCAAAGTTAAAAATTATGCTAATTTATAAAAAATAATTATTCTGCATAAGAAAATTTATATTATTAGGTATTATTATAGTTTTAGTTTTATTTTTAAATTTTGCAATATTTTTTAGCCAAAAAGTTCCAAAGTTTTCTTATATACAAAATGAAATGAAATATTTAAACAATTGTTCAAACAAATTATTTATATTATTTTATGTTTGAATAGATGCTGAAAGAATTGTGCAATATTTATTACTTATACTGAGATCACAATTGAGGCTCCGGATCTTAAAAGGGCACACGCGCGAGCACACGGCAAATAAGTTGGCCCCTGGAGATAAAATTTTGAAGTTGTTCAAAATAAATTTTAAATTATTGTTTCTTGTACAGAATTTCAAGGCGAAACTTTTTTTCTAATAAAATTTTTTTATATAATTTCTCGTTTTCACGTAAATTGAAAAAAACGTGATTTTTTGAGTTAAGAAATTTTAATGAATTTTTGACTTCAACTCGTGACTACTTCGTTAAATATTAATATTTTTCCACGAAATTTACACACAATATTCTTCAAACTATTCCAAGAGTGAAACAATATTTGGATATTTAAAAAAAAATTGTATGTCAAAGTAAATAATTATTTAAATAATTTTGTCGGAAAAATGATTCTCCTATTTTCAATTGAAAAAGTTGAGTGACGAATTTTCGTTTTCAGAAAACTTTTAGCGACAAAAATGTTCATTAATATGTTAGGAAGTTTTTTGGAAAATATCTCGCCATTTGATAATAAATTAAAGACAATAGAGCAATTTTAACATCGTCGCGCTCTGCTGTAAACGTAAACAATGTCTAACTATATATACATTGGTCTTGTAATGGCGGCCATGCTACACGTGTGCCGCCACGCCGCAATTTTACAGCAGAGCGCGACGATGTTAAAATTGCTCTATTGTCTTTAATTTATTATCAAATGGCGAGATATTTTCCAAAAAACTTACTAACATATTAATGAACATTTTTGTCGCTGAAAGTTTTCCGAAAACGAAAATTCGTCACTCAACTTTTTCAATTGAAAATAGGAGAATCATTTTTCCGACAAAATTATTTAAATAATTATTTACTTTGACATACAATTTTTTTTTAAATTTCCAAATATTGTTTCACTCTTGGAATAGTTTGAAGAATATTGTGTGTAATTTTTGTGGAAAAATATTAATATTTAACGAAGTAGTCACGAGTTGAAGTCAAAAATTCATTAAAATTTCTTAACTTAAAAAATCACGTTTTTTTCAATTTACGTGAAAACGAGAAATTATATAAAAAATTTTTATTAGAAAAAAAGTTTCGCCTTGAAATTCTGTATAAGAAACAATAATTTAAAATTCATTTTGAACAACTTCAAAATTTTATCTCCAGGGGCCAAATTATTTGCCGTGTGTTCGCGCGTGTGCCCTTTTAAGATCCGGAGCCTCAATTAAAGAATAAAAAAAACCGGGAAAAAATTCTTGATAAAATAATTTAAAAAAGTAAAGATAAATTACTTTTTCGAAAATAAACTCCAAAAAAGAAAAATCTTACGCGAGAAAACTAATAATATTATATTAATTGTCAAGAAATTTATCAATCCTCCAAGTCAAATATTAAATAAATATTAAAACTCAATTTTACGTTTCGACAGCCCTGCTGTCCTCATCAGAAAACGCAAATTAATTTAGATTTTGTGCGAACAACACAACCGGCTTACGTTGACTTAAGTCAATTTAAAAAAAAATAAAAATTAATTAATTAATTATTAATTAATTAGGATTGATAAATTTCTTGACAATTAATATTATCTTTTACCGAGTGATAAATTCTACTACTTAATAATATTATTGTACAAAAGATTATTGTCTTGTTTATTTTTAATAAATAATAATAAATAAATAAATAGATAGTTAATGGCTTCGCACTCATCTACTAAAACCTACTACTTACTACATTTTTTACGATTAGATACTATTTGGAAACTTTTTTTAAATTTGTCACTTTAAAAGCTACTTTTTTCTTTAATTTTTCAAAAATTTTCAGTACTTTAAATCCGCTAATAGTTGAAATGAAAAAATTATTCTCAAAAATTTTAATAAAATTCTTCTTGGAAACTATTAAAAAAAAATTGATTAATTAAATTATTTAAATTAATTATCAATTATTTAAAAAAAATTAATATTTGTTGCAGGAATTAAATTATTTTTACAAATAATGAAATTCTTCACTGAAATTCAAATATTTTCAGTATCTACTATTCAAATAAAATTGCTGAAAAGAATTCTATTTATTTTAGAAAAAAATTAAGAAAATTCACCGAAAAAATTTATTTAATATCGTGAATAATAAAACTTTCATAGGAATTCAATTATTTAAAATAGTTTTCAAGAACATTTTTCGAAAGAAATCAATTTAAAATATTTTAATGAAAATCTATATGAAAGAAATAATTAATTATTTTCTGAACTTTTGATAACATTTGTTTATAAGAATTCAATTATTTGCAGAACTAATAAAATTCATCGCAAGAATTCAATTACTTTTAATACAATTTTAATTAAATTATTGGAAACAATTGAATTATTCTTTTAAATTTTCATAAAATGATTTAAAAAAATTCAATTATTTAAAAAAAATTAACTGAAATTCGTTGCAAGGATTCAATTATTTGCATAATAAATATTCAAATTCTTCACATGATTTCAATTATTTTTAATACAATTTTAATTAAATTATTCAAAATAATTGAATTATTCTTTTAAATTTTCATAAAATGATTTAAAAAAATTCAATTATTTAAAAAAAATTAACTGAAATTCGTTGCAAGAATTCAATTATTTGCATAATAAATATTCAAATTCTTCACATGATTTCAATTATTTTTAATACCTTTTAAATTGAGTTCTTCGAAAAATGTAATTATAATTATTTTCAAAAGTTTTATTAAAATTCTTGTAAAGAAATCAAATATATGTATTTTAAAAAATTTTCATAACACTCTTTATAAGTATTTAATTCTGAGAAATCATAATTCTATCAATTATTTATTTTTGCATTTAAATAATTGAATTCTTCTGGAACTTTTTAATGAGAATTAATATAAAAATAAATAAAAATGAATTTTAGATTATAATTCAATATTAAATTCGTTATAGTAGGAATTTTTAGAAATATTTATAAATTTTCAAAAGCTTTTACATTAAAATTAAGATTTAACAAAAATTATTCAAGTACAAATAATTTAATTTAAAAATTATGAAAAAATTAGTCTTAAATTTTTTTTTTACTTTCTTCAATGTGGTTAAATTTTTGTAAAAATTAATATTTATTTAAATTTCCACTTAACTAGAAAATCAAATTTAATTATAATACATTTTATATATTTTAAAAAATTACTTTTTTTTACTTTTAGAAATTACTTTTAGATATGTATAATCGAATTTTTGATGAATTCCAACTAAAAGCTTGGGAAATAATTGAATTTTATGATTAAAAAACCATTTTTTCATAGTTTTAAATTTATTTTGAATTTTATAAAAATTTAGAATTGAAGTTATTACCAGGATAAGAAAAAAAGTGAATATTTTCTATGGAAATGAGGAAAATACAGAATCAAATTTTTGTGTGTTTAGTGAATCGACTAAAACGAGTTTTTTTAGTCCTCAAATTTAATTTTTCGATAGCTACATACTTTTATATACAATCAATAATTTTTTTACGAAACTATAGGGGAGGGTAGGCTACATTGAACCGGGTATTTTATAAACAGGGTTGCTACAGAACCTGGAAAACCTGGAAAACCTGGAAAAGTCAGGGATTTTTTAAAAAAGGTCTGGAATACCTGGAAAAGTCAGGGATTTTTTAAAAAAAGGTCTGGAATACCTGGAAATGTCATGGAAATTTGAAATGCCTGGAATTTTATTCCACTTAATATTTTTTACTACATTTTTTCTTTTAAAAAATGATGTCCTGGAATTCCTGGAAATGTCCTGAAATATCCTTGAATTTTCCATATTTTGCTTTTAAATATTCAATAATTTAAAAATTTTACTCAAATTTAAAAAAATAATTTTTTTGATCCATCAAAAAATAATTTTAATTTGTCGTTTGATTAAAGAATCTGATATCTATATTATATAATATTGATTTTTAACTCTTTTTATAATAAAATTAATATTTTTGTTCAAGTAGGTTAATTTAAATTATGTTAATCGTAATATGAAATAATATTACACATGTAAATGTCCTAGAAAATTAAAAAATCTGTCCTGGAATGTCCTGGAATTTTAAGTCATATTTTCAGTAGACACCCTGTCTGTGCTTTAATAATCAAATAGAGATAATCTAACGTGAATATTTTTATAATACAGAAAAATTCTAATTTATATAATGTTCAAAAGGTGACCTGGAAATTTATCAGATTTGGTACTGGAAAACCTGGAAAAGTCATGGAAATTTAAAAACAGACTTCTGTAGCAACCCTGAAAGTCCAAGAACTAATAAAATTTTACTAATTTCGATCAGGTTTTTGTATGAAAATTAAGCTGAAGTACTCCTTTAGTTAATACACACGTTACAAACACAAATTATTATGATTAAATAATAAAATTAAATTTTTTTCTAACAAGTCACACTTTTCTTATTTTGAAGGATGTGTGTCTACATTGAACCACCTCTAATAAAACACTACAATTTACTTCAAAAATAATATTTCCACTTACACATTGTAAAAAATGTTATTTTCCACTCAAAAAAATAGAAAATTGTTATTTAATTGTTATTACTTGTTAATATAGGAGATTAATGTATTTTAATGTCAGGTTAGGTAGGTAAAGTGACAGTTTGAGTTTATCTCGTTCACAATTGTGATGAAAGCATGTCTTCCAGTATTTTTCTTACTAATTAGTAGAGCAGACAACTTTACAACTCTTAAAATTGAAAATTCTTTGCTTTTTTGGGTGGTTCAATGATGCCGCACTCACTGTATTCACATGACATTCACAACAAAAATTGTTTATAATAAATTTGTGTAAGATTTAAAGTTCTTTATCACATCGGAATATTGAAGTTGACACCCTAAGCGAAATAAATCGCAAGTTTACTAATTTTTAAAACTTCCTATTTCAATAAAAAAACGTCATTATAATTCCACCAGATTTTTTGTTTTGTACGTGAAAAACAGTTTTTTTAGTTTTTCTTTGTAAATAATAAACCTACGTGCCCGAAATTTTTGGACATAGTTTGTTTCAGTAAAACTAACTTATATATTAAATAAGAAAAAATTTCACTCAGTCATTTCTCAGAAAATTCAAGTGGTTCACTGTTGACGCTGGTTCAATGTAGCCTACTCTCCCCTAACTATAATTGAATTCTTCTAGAAATATTTTATAAAAGAATTCAATACTTTATGTGACAAATTAACAAAGTTATACATTTGTTAACTAAGATTGATGGGTTTTAAACTATTCTACTTCAAAGTGGAATAAAAGCTTATTTTTATTCATTATTATAAAAATTAATTAAATAATATCAAATTATTATGAATTTTTCTTTAATATTTTCATAAGTTTTCTTATTAAATATACTTTGTAAAAAAATAAACATTACCCGAAAAAAACAAAATATAGAAAAAATAAAACAAAAAAATTTTTCTGCATTAAATTGTTTATAACAAATAAAAATCATTTTTAATTAATTTTTTATTGATAAAAAATTTTTTTGAGAAGCTTCTCTTATGCCCGTTTAGTAATAAATATTGAGGATTTTGCAAAAATTATCCCTTGTATGAAAAAAAATTTTTTTTTTTTTGATTTTTTAAACAAGTAAAAGATTTTAGAAATGGTTTATTTTAAAAATCCACTTTGAGAAATCGATACGCAATTTAATAAAGGTTTTAATTTCGAAAAAAATAAAATTATTCTGTGTCATTTTCACAGACCACACTCTTTACAACGAGTGAAGAAGACTGAAAACTATCTTCTCTCTTTACCAACTCATCATCAAAAATTACTATCAAAATATCGAGATCACCTGCAAGAAGTGAAACGCTGTATTGAAAATAATGACGACATAATAAAACTAATAATTAAGGATGTGGCGCACATATTTGAGAACGTGAATCCAGCCAGCACAGATAACGAGAGTGTAAGAAAAGTTAATCTGGTGTGTAGCATGATAACTTTCTTCTTTATATTTATCAATAGATCTCCTATTTTAGAGTGGAATTTGGATATTTTCTTTTTTTAAAATAAACCTACTTACCTTCAGGTTTAGTTTGCTAGAACCACTTTTTTTTTCTTCTCTATTTTATTATTTCTTTTAACACAAAAAAGATTTGACTAAAGTAGTTACAAACACACTAAACATATGCATTACTGCCGATAATTTTGCAAACACTTCATTTTTATTATTTCAGAAAAAATTGTTTATCGTATATTAACGGGGTCGCTGATTACGAATCTAAAGCCAGATTTCAAAATTCAAAATGGTGGATATTTTTTTCAAATTTGCTCAAATTCTCTTGAAACTTGTTATTCGGGGGTTTTCGGGGTCACTATTTTGAATTTTTTAAATCTGACTTCAAATTCGTAATCAGCGACCCCGAAAACCCCTGACAAACAAGTATTATGCAAATTTGAGCAATTTTAAAAAAATAACCGCCATATTAGATCCGTCATTTTGGATTTTAAAAATGTTGAAAATCCGACTTAAAATTCGTAATCAGCGACCCCAAAAACTCCTGAGTAATAAGTTTAATAAAATCCAATCTCTGGGTTTCCATTGGGCACAAAAGGGTTAAATAATAATTTGGATAAATTTAATGGTAAGCGTTTACTTCATTTTGAATTCAAATATTTCTGTTCAAATTGTAGTTAAAACTACAAAACCGAAATCATTTAAAAGTTTATTAAATTTAGCCTCAATTGGATCAAGATACAACCATTTTAATAATAATTTAATATGAATTATATTTTTATTTTTATATTATATGTGACACGCTCCGAAGAAAGGTACCTAAAAAGCAAAAAATTCTAGGTTATGTTCGTAATTTTTTAAATGAAAATGCAGAGAGGGGATCGACTTTCAAAATTCAAAATGGCGGTTCCAATATGGCGGACAATGTCTTAAAGGAAGGGTTGGGCTTTATTTTAAACTATATCAAGAAAATGATTTAAATTTTCTATAAAATTATTTATATAGTAATTTTTTACGAGAGGAATTCAATGATCAGAAAATATTTTGACCCTTTTTGAATTTTTATTTTTCTCAAAAATTGATAAATTTTAAAATTCATCCGTAATTTTGTAGAAAATATGCTTTTTGTATCCACAAAAAAATTGCCGAATGAAAAAAATTAATTTTTACTTTAATTTTGCAGCATTTTTTTTCTTTTTGAAAAAAACATTGTTTTTAGGTTAAAAATGCTAAAAAAAATACCATTATTATTAAATTTTTTTATTTAGAAATTCATTTGTTTATTTTTCTAATTTCAAATCATATTTTTTTAAAATATGAAAAAAATATTATAAAATTATTTTTTAAAGTAAAAAATATAAAATATAAAAAAATATGTTAAAATTATGATTTCAAATTAGTTTGAAAAATAAAGAAATGAATTTCCATATAAAAAATTGTATTCTTTTAGCATTTTTAACCTAAAAATAATGTTTTTTTTTTTAAAAAAAATGCTTCAAAAATAGTAAAAATGAATTTTTTTTATTTGGAAATTTTTTTGTCGATACAAAAACCTATTTTCCAAAAAATTACAGATGGATTTTAAAATCCATGAATTTTTAAGAAAAAATAACTAAATTATTTTGATTCTTGACCTTTAGCTTTAGGACTAGTTTCGGTCACTAATCATGAGTTTAAAGTCACTTTTGAAGAATTAAAAATGACAAATCCAAATATCCAATATGTTGAATAATATTTTTTAAAAACTATTAAATTCTCTAAAGTTCTTAATTATGAGTTTTCAGAACTTCTGATTTTCAATTAAAAGTAATTTTTTTAAATTGTCGAGAAATATTAATTTTATACTTATTTTTGAGAGAAGAAAATTAAAAAACATTATTATCGAATATAAAATTTGTAATTAACAACTTCAAAAAAAACCTCGAGTAACAAATTTTTTTTTTAATTTTTAATTTTTTTTCAATTTTAATTTTTTCTAATTTTTTTTTTACTAATTTTTAATTTTACATCCAATTTAATATTGAAGGCCTCGTAAAATTTTGAAAATTAGTCAATTTTTCATTTTTGACCAAAAAATACAGTTTGAAAGTATTTTTGATCATTAAATTCTCTATATTATTTTGTTAAAAAGACAATGACAAGAATGTTTTACTACCATTGATGTGAAATTTTTTTTTAATTTTTGAAAAAATTAATTTTTTCTGTCAATAAAAATTTGGTGTACGCATAATTTCCGTAATAACTTTTAAAATGAGATGTTCGAAAAGTATACAATCTATTAAATAACTTAAAATATTTTCTTTTAAATAATTGTTAGAAACGCATGAAAAATTATAATTTTTGAACACCCGGTATATTGAAAAATGAATTAAAAACAATTTTTTTCTTTGATTTTAATTAACATTACCCTCCAGTTTTGTATTCTGTGACAAAAAATTTTACTTCATTTTAATATTGCTTGTGAAGCACTGGACAAAATTAGAGGGAGAAAAGCACCGCATCGTTAAGAAAAATCGAAAAAAAAATTTGTTCCTTTCTAACTATGTAGAACACTTGGAATTTTTTTTTTCTTCTTGACTGGAAAAAATGTTTGAAATCTATGGGATTTTTGTTTGTCTATTTAAGCGTCCGCATGATATTTTAAAACCGTATATTGAATATTTTTTAAATACAAATTTACAAAATTTAGAAAAATTTTGTTTTTCATTTTGAAAATCTGTTGTTTTTAAAATGTTAGTATTTGTTAGTTTGAAGAAATTTAGGTGTCATTTGTTTCAAAACTAAAAACTACTTATTTATACTAAATCCTTTATACAGTTGCTGTAGATAAAAAAGTAAATTTTTTCCACCAATTTTTTTTTTAGTCCTAAATTTAAAATTACATATTTCTAGACATTAAGTGCCAGACCAATAACGGCTGATCAGGAAAAAGTTCAAGCAACAATTAAGCAATTAGTACGTGATTGGAGTACAGAAGGAACTGATGAGAGAAATGCTTGTTATCAACCAATTGTAGATGAAATTTTAATGCAGTTTCCATTGGACTATTGGTATGATTTTAAATATTTTTAATAAAAATTTTAATGTTAATACTTTTTTTTATTTATTTTAATGGAAAATTTTTTACTTCTTTCACCCGAATTTCGCAAAAATTCAAAAATGAAATTCAGTACAGTTTGAATTTTAAATCATTTTGAACATTGAATTGACATTTGGTTCGAAATTCTAAATGACCGAACGAACAATTGACAGAAATATTTGAGAGCGAATTTTGAAACTGACTAATCAAAAGATTTAGAATTTAGAAATTCTGAAAAAATTAGGTTTTTTAAAAAGTCGTAATTAAAATTTTTTAGAAAATAGTTGAATTCCCGAAAATAATTTTAAATAATTGAAAAAAAGGAAATTTTCTCAAATTTCACTAAAAATGAATTTTATATTTCAAAGAATACATTATTTTATGAATTTACAAAAATTATATTATTTAAATAAATCAATTATCGTTAGTTGAATTCTGATAGGGATTGTTAAAAATTATTTTCAGTTAAAATTTTAGAAAATAATTAAATATTTAAAGCGTTAAAATGGAAATGTTAGGAATTAATTAAATTTTAAAAGATTTTAAAACTAAATTCTTTGAAAATTTAAGGGAAGCGAAAGTATAAAAATAATTAATTATTTGTTTTAAAAAAAAATTATTAATTACATTATTTTTCTTAAAAAATTCTTAAAGTCTTGAATAATTTTATTCAAAAATTCTAAAAAAAAATAATTGAATTTTGAAAGAATTGCATTTGCAATTTTTAAAAATAATTAAATTTAAATAGGTTTTTCATTGTAATTATATTTGAAATCTTAATTATTAATTAATGAAAAAATAATTAAGAATAAGTTTTAAAATTTTTGTTCAACAAAAAGTATTGAAGTTTTGAATAATTTAATTTAGAAATTCCGAAAAATGTTGTTTCTTGAAAAAATGTAATTAAATTTTTTTTTAAATAATTTTATTTTCGAAAAAATTTTTAAAAAATTAAAACAATATTGAAAATTTTGTCAAATTTCATTGAAATAAATTTTATATTTTAATGCATTTTATTGATTTACTTTTAAAAATTATTTTGAAAAATAATCGTATTTTTGAAGAATTTCTAATTGAAAATTTAGAAATAATATTGAATTTAAAAAAAAAAATTAGAATTAAACTTATTACGAGAAATGTTCCAGTGGTAATTGAAAGTTCTTAATTTTTTTTAAATTTAAAAGAAAAACTATTAGAAAAATTATAGTTTTTAAAAAATGAAATAATTTTCATTAATAAATTACAAAAAAAAAATTAAATTTTAAAAATAAGACAATTAAAAGTTTTTTTTTTCATTGAAATGAATATTATATTTAAAAGAATTTAATTTTATTACTTTTAAAAACTGCAGTTGGAAATAGAATCGTATTTTTGAAGTTTTCAAAATTATTATTATTTTGTAAATTTCGAAAAATTGTTTCTATTTTTAAAAAAATAATGAATTTTCATTAAATTTCAAGAAGAAAGCTTTTGTAACTAAGAGCCTTGAAATTTTCACGCGCGTGAAGTTATGCTAGATATTTAAAAAAAATACAGAAAGTATTTTAATGTTAAAAAAATATCGGCGGTGAATGGATACGAATGTGTGAATTACAGTAAAGAAGAATATCAAATAATAGGTAAATTTCCAGTACACCTTCTGAAGTGCAAGTTTTGGTACCTGGTGCTGGTCTCGGTAGGCTGGCTTATGAAATTGCAAGACGTGGATATACGTGTCAGGGAAATGAATTTTCATTATTCATGCTGTTTGCGTCTCACTTCGTACTCAACAAGTAAGCTACTGTGATTTTTTTAATTTTCTTTTTTTTTAAATTCACTTTATACTTATTTTTGTCGCTAATAGCAAAATTCAAGTACAATACTTTTGATTGTAGATGTAGAGATATAAATTCTTTTAAAGTACATCCATGGGTACATCAGTACATGAATAATTTAAAACCCGAACATCAAACGCAAGCTGTCTTTTTTCCCGACGTTAATCCTAGTGATCTGCCTGAAAATGTACAATTTTCTATGACTGCCGGAGATTTCCTCGAGGTAAACATTCTAAACAAAAATAGTTACTTAAAAATTTCTGTAGAAAAATTAATTTTTATTATAATGAAAAAACGGTTTTTCATTAACCGTTTACAAAAAAAATTTTGAATCGTTTTTTAAAAATTAGTTTTTCTACAGTAATTTTTTATAATAAAAAACTGTATTTTATTTATTTTAATGTTTAGTTTTATGCAATTTTTGAAAAGGATTTTAAAAATCAAAACTAAAGGTTGAAATTCTTTCTCAGGTATACAAGAAAGATGAAAACTGGGACTGCGTAGCGACCTGTTTTTTCATAGACTGCGCAAACAATATTGTTCAATTTATTGAAACAATATATAAAATTTTAAAACCAGGTGGCGTTTGGATAAATTTAGGACCACTTTTGTATCACTTTAGTGACATGCCAATGGAGGACTCAATTGAACCCAGTTACGAAGTTGTCAAAGACGTTATAAGAGGCTTAGGTTTTCAATTGGAGGTGAGAGAATTATTATCAAATTTTATTGTATCCAATCGAATAAATACAAAACTTCTCTTTAACTTTTAAAGTTAAAAAAATTGAAAAATATGTATTTATAAAATATTTATTATATTTTTATACAGGGTTGTCACAAAACTTTAATTTTGTTTTTCCAATTAGAAAATAAAAAATTTTATTTTTATTTTTTTTTATTTTAGAAAATAAAAACTTGAAATAATTTTTAAAAGTTTCGATTAAGTTTAAAAAAAAATTAGTTCCATAGAATTTTTTAATTAAAAGTAAAAAAAAATTCAGATTTTCAAAAATTTTTAATTGAAACCTTTACAAAATTCGATTACCTATTTCTAAAAATTGCAATTATTAGAAACTTTTAAAAAATTCCATTATTATCGAAAACTTTAACTGAAATTCATTTTTAAATTAATTTTTATTAGAAAATGCTACGAGAATTCAATTATTTAAATACAAAAACAAATAATTGAATGTTTCTTGAAATTGAATACTTATAAAGAATTTTATGAAAATTTTTAAACATATTTAATTTCTTTAGAAGAATATTTAAATGAAATTTTTGAAAATAATTACATTTTTCGAAGAATTCATTTACAATTGTATAAAAAATTAATGAAATCATGAAGAATTTTATTATTTATGAAAATAATTAAATTCTTGCAACGAATTTCATTAAAAATTTTAAATAATTGAATTTTCTTTAGTTATTTTATGAAAATTTAAATAAATAATTCAATTGTTTCGAATAATTTAATTAAAATTGTATTAAAAATAATTGAATTCTTGTTATGAATTTTATTATTTATGAAAATATTTTAATTCTTATAAACAAATGTTAAATTTTTAAATAATTGAATTCTTTCGATGAATTTTAATAAAATTTTTGAGAATAATTACATTTCTCGAGGAATTGGATTAAAATTGCATTGAAAACAATTGAAATTCTGCAATGAGTTTTTTTATTTATGAAAATAATTGAATTATTGCGTTGAATTTTATAAAAAAGTTTCAAACATTTGATTTTTTCGAAATTTATGCAAATTCTATTTTTAATAATTGAATTCCTGTAAAATTTTCTTTACTTCAGAAAATAATTGAATATTCGTGTAGAACTTTGTCAAAATTGTTTTTAAATAATTGAATTCTTTTGGGAAATTTTATTATAAAATTTTTGAAAATAATTAAATTTTATTACTTTTGAAAATAATTGAATTCTTGTGATGAATATTGTTATTTATGAAAATAATTGATTTCCTCCGAATAATTTTATTATCTATAAAAATGATTAAATTTCTTAGAATAATTAAAACATTTTTTTAAAATTTCATTTTTTCGAAAAAATTATGCAAATTCTGTTTTTAATAATTGAATTTTAGTGAAAATTTTTTTTTTTAATAATTTAATATTAGAATATATATATTATTAAATTTTTTATTTAATAATTGAATTCTTTTAGGAAATTTTATTAAAATAGAATATTGAAAATCATTAAATTAAGAAATATTTTTGAAAATAATTGAAATTTTGACATGAATTTTATTAAAATTTTTGAAAATAATTCAATTTTATTTCTTTTAAAAATAATTGAATTCTTGTGATGAATATTTATTTATTTATGAAAATAATTGAATTTTGCAATGAATTTTATTAAAATTCCTGAAAATAATTGAATTTTGTCGAAGAATTTTATTAATTTTGAAAATAATTGAATTTTTTGTGATGAATATTTATTTATGAAAATGATTTAATTTTGCAATGAATTTTATTAAAATTCCTGAAAATAATTGAATTTTGTCGAAGAAGTTTGCTATTTATTTATAAAGATAATTGAAATGTTGACAATTTTTTTTTTTTAGTATTTTTAAAATAATTGAATTTCTGCGAAGAATTTTATTAATTTTGAAAATAATTGAATTCTTGTGATGAATATTTATTTATTTATGAAAATAATTGAATTTTGCAATAAATTTCATTAAAATTCCTGAAAATAATTTAATTTTGTCGAAGAATTTTGCTATTTATTTATAAAGATAATTGAAATAATTTTTTTTTTAGTTTTTTTTTAATATAATTGAATTTCTGCGAAGAATTTTATAAATTTTGAAAATATTTGAATTATTGAAATGAATTTTTTTATTTATGAAAATAATTGAATTTTATAAAAATTGTTGAATATAATTGAATTGCGGCCAAAATTTTTGCTATTCATAAAGATAATTCAAATGTTGACGAGTTTTTTTTATAAAATTTTTGAAAATTATTGAATTTCTGGAGAGAATTTTAATATTTATTAAGATAGTTGAAATTCTTTTAAAGAATTGCTTTAAAATTTTAAAAATTGAAACTAATTTCAACATAATTGAAATAAAAATTTTTCAAAAAAAAATTCATTAAATGATTTATAAGTAATAACTTCATGGCAGTTCTTTAATAGAATTAAGTTATTTAAAATAAATTATTGTCAAAAATAGAAAAAATTGAAAGTTTTTTTTAGAATTCTTTGTAATTATTTCATAGTTTTTGAGTCAATCAAAAAGACACAAAAATTGAAAATTTTCTTATAAATTCTAAACATTAAAGTTTTTCCAGTTCTTTTAATAAAAATCCCTGACTTTTTGCTGAATTCTCTGACAAATTTTACTTTCCCTAACTTTTTCCTGGTCTGTAGCAGCCCTATTATATTTTTTAATAGAAGGAATATGAGTTTAAATTTTTTTTAATTTACCTTTTAAACACTAATTTACTTTATTTGTAAATTTGCAGAAAGAAGAAACACACGTAAAATCAAGATACGCCCAAAATCCCAATAGTATGCTGCAATATGAATATAAAAGTGTTTATTTTGTATGTCGAAAACCAAAAAGACACTATAAAGTTGGAATGAATGGAGTAAATGATAGCAACGGAATTCACGAACAAGAAAATTAATAATTTTTGATACTTAGTGTTATATTCAACCTGCGAGGAAAAATCGAAAGTCTGTTGTAATTGTATTAAGAGTTTGAAATATTTTTTTTACTGTAATATTATTATTTCAACTTTTTCTTTTTAACAAGTTCATTCATCATTGATTTCACATTATTTTTCGTGTTCTTATTTTCAGTTGTTTTTTTAAATCAAATGTAAGTGTTGACATTTGTATAACTACTAATTGATTACTCGTATTTGAATTTTTCCTATTTCTCTCACACACACACATCACATAATTTTGTACTTTGAATAAGGGTCAAAAGAAACTCATTTTTTTATACATAATAATATAGACTTGTGATTTCTATATTTAAATATGAAATTTGTGATTTAATATAATAGACCTATAATGTTGGCTATTTGAGTTTCTTGTGAGACCATTCTCCTCATAATTTAAGTGTCTTTATTACGTCTTTTTTTTTTTTTAACAGAGAGACGTAAAATTATGTAAAGTTTATAACAAAAAATAATGAATTATATTTGATCAGAACAGCATAAAAATATAATTAAGCAGCTTTTTGATACTACAAAATAAAATAAACACTATAATTTGTATATAAAATGTTTAAATTTTGAAATGAAAAATAAAAAACAATACAAGTAAAACAGCGAATGAAAATGAATTACTTATGGAAATAATTGAATGATTGCGAAGAAATTTATAAAAAAAAAATTGTAAATAATTGAATTCCTGATGAAATTTTTATTACTTTTATGAAAATAATTAAAGATAGAATTTTATTAAATTTTTTAAAAATAAATTGAATTCTTTTGGAAAATTTTACTAAAATAGCATAAGTAGATACTGAAAATCATTGAATTGAGGAAAATTTTTGAAAATAATTGAAATTTTGCCTAGAATTTTATTGAAATTGAAAATTGAATTTTGGAAAATTGAAATTTTGACGAGAATTTTATTACTTTTGAAAATAATTGAATTTCTGCATTATTTGTAATTTCTCTAAATTTATTCAAATTATGTAGAACAATTTACGAACTTTTACTTTACTTTTTTTTTAACATTTTCCTTTTTCTATCTAATTACTGACTCTACGGACCTTTTTTTAAAAAAAATTAATTTTTACAGACTTGAAGCTAATTTACGGACCTAGTTCGACCCCCATAATTCCCAAGGAGTTGTAATAACAAATTCTAAAATATATTTATTGATATTTTCGTTTTATTTTCCTTATTACAATACTTATTATAGTATTATTATTTTAATATAATAAAAATAATTATAATATATTTATAACATTATTTATAGATAAGCTAATCATAGTTAAAAATTAAACTTTTTTGAAGAAAAACTATCAAAATACGTAGTTACAATAAAACTTTTTAATTTACCCTAATTTACTAGACATTAATTTTAATTATATATAATAATACGTTATTTAATTTAAGAATACGAAGAACTGGTTTAGACCTAATCATCCTGACAAATTTGTAGGTTTTTGTTTGTATTGTCAACGTAACGATAGAAATGATTTCTATCTCTTTTTAGAGATAAGAACGATGGTAACAATTTTCTTGATATATTTTTTTTTTAATCAATAGTGACGCGTCCTCTTTATTTGACGATTTTTTTTCAATAATTAGCACGAGGTAGAAAAAATATATAAGGATAAAAGGTTTTATTATTTGATAAATAAATATGTATTATAAACTACTATTAAGATATTGTATAAAAAGAAGAGCTATTTGATCGGGCGCTACCTGTTGCATTTTAGTGTAGGTTAAAAATTGGCGTCTCAATTTAGTGAGTTGAGCGGCATTACCAGAATTTTTAAGAGTGTGACCATATTTCTGAATTTTAATATCATTCTCAATTCCAATTTGTTTTGCAGCTAATATTTCCTGAAACAGTTAAACATTTATTTTAAAGTCAATTGTAACAATTTTTTTCAATTGAATATATAAATTTATATAAATTAAAATAATATATATATAAATTTATATAAATTATAATAATAAATATAAATTTATTTAATTAGTTATATTTGCGACATACATTTACAATTTCCTGTGTTATTTTGTCCATGTCGTATAAATAATTTGTCGATGATAAAAGAGGCTGAAAAAATTAGTAAATGATAAGTTTTTTAAAATTCAAAATACTTTTAATATAGTTCTAGAATATTTTAATAAAGTAAAACTTACACATTGTGTGCTCATATTTGGCTTTGGCGCTTTAACGTTAAATAGCGCGGAATAAATATTTTCGAATTGTAATTCATCCTCTGGTGAAACTGCAAACAATGGAGAATCCCAACGATTTTTACTGTCTGGTGCCTCATACCTATATTTTAAAAATAGGCGATTAAAATATAAAAAAGTAAAAATTATTATTATTTTCAATATATTTTGAATTACTAGCAGTTAGTAAGTTACTAGTAATTACTAGTAGTTTTAAAAGAAAAAAATAGAACCAATAGAAACAAGTTGTTTTAAATATATACTTTTTAATTTTACCTCATAACGAGAGCGTCAAATATTTCTCTAGTATATTTCTCTGATTCTGGTCTATTTTCATTCCATAACCAAGCATGTTCAACGGGTATATCACAATGGAGAGTACATTGAGGTGTTTTATAAAGTTTACAGAGACAATAAATTTCGTATCGACATCCTTTAATATAATTACTGCCGTCAATAATTAAAACATCTTTGCTGTTCAGATAACGTTGAACGTCTGATTTTATGTCTGCTCGAACGCCCTTTTCATTTTTTGATTCTAAAAAAAATCCCAAAAATAAATGAAAAACAAAATTTCCAGAAATTTTTACTTTGCAGTGATTTAATTTTGTAATATTATTACAATATTCTGGAACTAAGTAAAAATAATTTTTGTTGGACATTTTTGAATAAAAAAAATTTTTTTTAAATATTCCGACAGATTCGATTGTACACAACTCTCCGTTAACAAAATTTTTAATTATGTAAAATATTTTATTTAAGATGACAGAATGATAAAATCATTATTTTATATCATAAGAATATTGTAACTATAAATTCAAATTTTCAAAGATTTTAATTTGAACCCTTTTCAAAATTCAATTATTTCTAAAAATTCACACAATAATTCTTCTAATATTCAATTATTATTATCTAAAATTTTACCTGAAATTCATTTTTAAATAAATTTTTATTAGAAATTTTAACGAGAATTCAATTATTTACATAAAAAAATAATTAATTTATTCAATAATTGAATATTTCATAAAATTGAATTTTTATGAAGAATTTTATGAAAATTTTTAATAATAATAGAATTCTTTTGGTGAATTAAAAAAAATTAAGAATAAATGCAATTTATTTAATAAATGCAATTTTCTATCATTATAATTTAAAATTGTATAAAAAATAATTGAAATTCTGTGATAAGTTTTTTTATCTATGAAAATAATTGAATTCTTGCAACGAATTTTATTAAAATTTTTTTTAAACAATTGAATTTCCTTGAAGAATTTTATTTGTAAAAATAATTGAATTACGGAGAAAAATATTATTATTCATGAAAATAATTAACTTCTTGTGAAGAATTTTATTCAAATTTTTTTAAATAATTGAATTCCTCATAATTTTTTGAAACTTTTTGAAAATAATGAAATTCCATCGAGAAATATCATTAAAAAATTGAAAATAATTGGAATCTGACAAAGAATTAAAAAAATTCTTTTTTAAAAAAATTGAATTTCTGTGAAAATATTTATTTTTAAAAAGAATTGAATTCTTGGGAAGAATTTTATTATTTATAAAAATAATTGATTTCTAGCGAAGAATTTTTTTCAAACTTTTTTTTTAAATAATTGAATTTCCATAAAAGATGTATTATTTGTGAAAATATAATTGAATTCTTAAGGAGATGTTACATCGTTATTTTTAAGTATGTCAAGAAAATAATGTAAATATTACAATAAAATTATTTGTAAGGTAATATTTTTTTGGGAAATTAATAGTCAAAATAAATACGGTCAGGAAATATTTTGACCCATTTTTAATTTTTATTTTTTCTTAAAAATTTGTGGATTTTGAAATTCATGCGTAATTTTATAGAAAAAAAGGTTTTTAAAAACAAAAAAATTGATTTTCATAATTTTGAAGAATTTAAAAAAAAATCTTTACCTTTAGTCTGAAAATGCTAAAAAATTCTATCAATATTCAATTTTTTAAATGAAAATTCATTTCTTTATTTTTCTAACTAATTTCAGATCATAATTTTTTTTATAGGATAAAATTTAAAAAATACAAAAAATTAGGATAAAATTATAATCTGAGATTAATTAGAAAAATAAACAAATGAATTATTTTCCATATAAAAATAAAAATTCAAAATGGGTCAAAATATTTTTTGACCTATTTTATTTTTATAACAGAAAAAATTACCTTGAAAATAATTTTGTGAAACATTTAAATTATTTTCTTGATATAGTTTAAAATATCGGAGAACCATCTCCTTAAAGGAAATTTAAACTATTCGAAGTTTTGTTTTGCATAAATATTGTTATACTTAGTACTTAGTAATTAATAATAGCATTGCTTGAAAATCTTCAAATAATTTTCTGGTTTATTAGTTTTTATTAAAACATTTTATTTTGTACATAAAAGTGTACAATTAGTTAAATAAATTTTAAGTTTAATTCCTTAATAGAAATATTTTTTCCATGCAAAAAGATGTCTTGACTGAAATAACACTTGCAAGCATGACTTATTCAAAATTCCAGGATAATAACCACATTTTTACTCAAGTACATTTAATATACAATAACATTATTTTTACGAAAATTTTAATTAACTAACCTGCAAAGTATGTGTTTTTGTTATAACCAGCTTTCTGAATTGCCGCATCCTCACTAATTATAGTCACGGTCACCTGTTTAGTTTCAAAAAATTCTTTTAATTCTAACGTCCTTTTTGTTTTTCCACTACACGGAAGACCGGTTATAACAATTAAAGGCATTTGTTTCTGAAAATTATCTTTCTATATTTATTTGTTTGATTTATAAATAAATAATTATAAGTCACATGTGTGTCACTGTGTTTACGGTGCGTGTATACACTGTAAAAAATTCTGGTGTATTAAAACATACTGAATGTAATTTTACACAGCAATATTATAGGCTGGACGTAGTAAATTTACTAAGTTTCAAAGTAGTTTTACTATTTTTAATAATTTTACTTTATATGACTATGTAATTTAATAGTTTTGTGTAAATTTACTACGTCCGACGTAGGAAAATTTGATCACTATGTCCAGCATGTTGTATTACACTCGTCTGTTTTTTTACTTTATTCTGTGAATTTACAATGGTCATGTAAAGTTACCACGGATACGTAAATTTACGTTGTATTGCATGTAAGATTACATGCCGCGTGTATTTTTCCTTTAGCGCGGAGTTAAATATATTATATGGATGCTTGCACATGCTCAAAATAAAGTGAACTGCCAACACCGACATTTTGCCTTTTTTGTGTTTTTATTATTAGTATATATATTTTAGTGTTTTCAATTAGTATTATTTAACAGATTACGCATTAGTTAAATTACATGCGGCATGTTTTTGAACAGAACGCTATTTGAAGCAACCCATTTTAACATTGAGCATGTAAAATAACATGCAGGTTATGTCAAATGATCAGCCATTTGTAAAATTACACGCTTGACGTAGTGATTTTCTTTTCCTACGTCGGACGTAGTAAATTTACATGAGAATTTTTTACAGTGTAGTTGTACAATTTTTAAGGTTATATTACATTTCTTACGTAATTCACGTAAAACGCTGTACGTTTCCAAGAGCATTCTAAAGGCCTTTCTCCAATAGGATTCCAAGAACATAAAGGCGAATGCACAACTGCTTCGCGAACGTTGTTCGCGTGAGTTAGAAAAGGAAAATAACTTTAAAAACAAACAAAGGTTTACAAATTTTCCATCAAATTCCCGTTAAATTTTAAACTTATATTACAAATTTTCTTATTTTTTTATTCTAAAAAAGTTATGACATATTTCGCAGACCCTAATTGTTACGCAAAAATAGATATTGTTTTTTAATTTAAGTTCTCATGAATATTTAGAATAAATAATAATTAATATTAAATTTGCTTCTCAAGATTGATAAATAAGTAGTAAAATAGGTAGGTAATATATTTAAATTTAATATTCCTTTATTAATTTATCACCAACATTTGATTATAATGTTAAGTGTCATTCGACATTTAAATAGAATTCGACAATAATTAACATTTTTTACAATTAAATTATTCTTCAAATTAATTTTTAATAAATATTCATTATTTCAACATTCAAAACGGTGCCATGGGACTCCACCCTGAGGTTTCTTTTCGCACTTGTGCCTTCACTGATGCAGACAGATCGTCCTCATATGAGACGCATTACGCTCGCATGTCATAAAGGTGCATGATGCATGAGAGTGAAATACGAGTCTCGTGCGTTTATTTATGATAAATATATATTGTAAAAAATTAAATATACAAAAAACTAAGGTTAAATTTAAAAATGTTTGATTAAAATTTTATATTTCAATAATATAAACATGGCATTAATACTGAACATTTTTCTCTTTAGTCTTGAACATACATAACCTCCTAAATAACCTATAATAAACATTAGCTGAGATCATAATTCGTAATAAATATAAACTTTTCAACACGAATTCAACAAAAGTCAACTGTATATATAATATAATAAATTAACAACTTGGACTGCGTCTAAGAGCCTTATTTCTATTCGAAGCAAATCAACTTTAAATGCCCTTATTCGATATGACTGTTATATTTTTTAATTTTTCAATTTAAAAACGAGTTTAAACAAACACAAATATTTATAGAACATAACAGAAACGAAACTGTGATTCGCAAACGCAGGAATAATTTTAAAGATATTAGGATCATGGAACAAAAAGAATTTTTAAATATTTCTCATATTTATTGTAAAATAAGCATCTAAAGTATATGAAGTCGTAAAAACTGTCACATTTTCATCTATTAGAAAATATTAAAGAAAACACATAATTTACTATAAAAATAACGTAAAAAAATTATTAGAATTTATTAAGAATGAATTATTTTATTATTATAAATTGATAGAAACAATTATTAATAAGAAATATTAAATAAAAAATTATTTTAAAGTTCACCTATCAAATAATTTTGCAAATTACATTCAACGCTAAATGTTTGTATTTGTCTTCGGTGCTTGATTAAAACTGCAACTTTGGAAATTCTGGAAGTTGATACATTAACAACTTTTCTAGCTTGTGATAGACATCGATATTTTCAAATAATTTTTCCGCTTACTACTTGGCCTAAAACTCGTTTAACTTTCTCATTTTTAGATTCCTTATAGGAACAATGAATTTAATTTTTTAGGACTTCACCAAAAATCTGAAAAAATAAATATTTATAACAAAATTATTATTTATATTTGATAACGATTAAATATTGATGAACTTAATTAAAACAATAGTTAATAAAATCACACCAAACGTTTCTTTATATCATTCATAGAAGTCTTCTGATTATTAAAAAAATTGTTCATTTTCGAATTAGGTGACGTATTCGTAATTGACGACAAAGATTTATTTTGGAGACCCTTATTTCTTTTTCTAAGCATATTGATAAGTTTTTTGCAACCTCAAATTTTTCAAATCGATGAGTTTATTATTGTCAGTATAACACTTTCTTCTTTTGTTTTGTACTTTTTTGGGATGATTTTGATTGCTTTGATTGTTGGCTCCTATTGTTTTTAACTTCGTTGTTTACTATAAGTTCTTGTTCTAACGTCATCTTTTTCAAACGCGAATTTCTCTTCCACTCTCGCTGGCGTTTTTTCAAAAGTTTCTTTTCTCTATTTGTTAATTCACTTAATTTTTTAATTTTTCCTTCTTCTTTCCTTTTTTTGAATCTTTCTCTTTCTTTTTGACAATAATTTTCATAAAGCAGGGGATCATTTTTTATCTTTTCTCGTCTTACTTTTTCAGCTTCCCGTTTTTTCTTTAGTCGTTCTTCTCTATGCTTAATTGATTCTGGCTAAAAATACAAATTTTAAATTCATATGTATATAATATATAAAATAAAACACAATTTTTCACTGTAGGAAATATATTTGTTTTACCTTTTTTAATCTTTTGACAGGTTTTTTGAGTGATTTATTCTTTTGTACTGCTCTTGTCACAATTTCACGTGGTTTTCCCATTTTCCTGGTTATAAAATGTTTTTTACTATATATTCATTGAAAATATTTGTTTTCTTAGCAATAATTGTCAGTTAGTCATCAGCTCTGATGATAAATTTCAATTATGACAACAAAACTACATAACCAAAGAATGTCATTTGCATAACACTATGAAGTTAGCGCATAAAACTTATTTCAGAAAAGTGGTCACTCTCACCACTCTCACCAATAAGAGCGTATGTGCTTCTGATTGGTTGACAGAAAGATATTTTAAATTAAAAGTAAAGGCATGTTTTTCGCATATTAAGGTGTTTTTTAGTGAGACAGTGAGTGGTTGCCGAAGCACTAAAATAGAAAAGGACGGAGCGGCCATTTTATGTGACACCACGGAGCTGACATTTGACATTTAACAAACAATTTTGCAAAATAAATCTTTTCTTTGGGTAGATAATTTGTTTCTAATGTTATCTTCAAAAAAATAATAATAACTACAAGAAAGAGTGTTTAATTTAAAAGAATAGTAATACCACGGTACTGACCACTTTTTTCACATTTTTACAAAAACGATCTCTTTTTAAGTGTAGAACTTCTAATTTTATAACTTTTTTTATTGATATTTATTTTTAATGAATCTTATTTTAGATTATAACTCTCAGATAACATTGAAATATGGCGTCAACACTTAAATTATAGGAAAAAAAATCTTATTATTAAAATTAAATTATAAATAAAAATTAAATTAATTAATTAATTAATTATTATTAAATTATATAATATTATTATAATCTTATTACAAAATTAAAAAAATTTGTGGACAAAACTATTTTACATTTTATAATTTTATATGAAGTATTAGAAAATGCATTATATGCACAAATTATTAACCTGTACTCCTGTATACATAATTTATTCATATTACAAAAATGCTGGGTTCCAGTTTCGACGTTTCTAATAAAATTTCTGAATTTTAACTTAAAATTTAAAAAAACGGAATTGGTTTTATATACCTACAACCTGTAAAATTTATCCATACCCAAGTAAAAATTTTTTATTTTATTGAATATGTTTTTTTGTGACGCCGCCAAATATTGCAGTTACGTGCAAATCACCCTTATAAGAAATGTGAAGTAAAGGAAGCTTAATTAAGTTATAGTTAGATAGTAAGTCAATTCGTTGGTAAGTTAGTAAGTTAGTGCCTAAGTTAGTTAGATAGTAAGTTAGTTGCTAAGTTAGTTAATTAGTTAGTAACTAAGTTAGTTTGTAAGTTAGTTAGTAACTAAGTTAATTTATAAGTTAGTTAGTAACTAAGTTAATTTAAAAGTTAGTTAGTTAGTTAGTAACTTAGTGACCAAGTTATATAGTTAGTTAGCTAGTAACTTAGTAAATTAGTTAGTAAGTTAATAAAGTTAATTAGATAGTAAGTCAGCTCGTTGGTAAGTTAGATAGTAAGTTAGTTGGTAAGTTAGTTATTAACTAAGTAAGTTAGTTACTAATCTTTTTTAGTTACTAACAAAGTTAGTAAGATAGTTAGTGACTAAGTTACTTGGTAATTTAATTAAAATAAATAGTGCCTAAATTAGTTAAAAGTTAGTTAGTAAGTTAGTTAATTACTTGATAAATTAGTTAGTAACAAAGTCAGTTTTTAGGTTAGTTAGTTACTAAGTTAGTTTATAAGTTAGTTAGTTAGTAACTAATTATTTTTAGTTAGTTAGGGGCCGTTCAAAAAACACGTAACGCTTTTTTGGGGGAGGGGGGGGTCAGCTATTTGTTACGGTCAGCAGAAAAAATGTCGCTAATGTATACAACATTTCGTTACATGGGGAGAGGGGGGTCCAAATTTTCGAAAAATAGCGTTACGTACTTTTTGAACGGCCCCTTACTAAGTTAGTTAGTTACTAAGTTGGCAAATTAGTTATTAAGTTAGTTAGTAAATTATTTAGTTAGTGACTAAGTAAGTTGGTAATTTAATTAAGTTAGTTAGATATTAAGTTAGTTCGTTGGTAAGTTAGATAGTAAGTTAGTTAGTTAGTGCCTAAATTAGTTTATAAATTAGTTAGTTAATTAGTTAATAAGTTAGTTAGTTAATTAATTAGTTAGTTAATTAATAAGTATCTAAGTTAGTTTGTAAGTTAGTTAGTGACTAAATTAGTCAGTTAGTTAGTTAGTTAGTAACTAAGTTATCTTGTAAGTTAGTTAGTTCCTAAATTAGTTTGTAAATTAGTTAGTTAATTAGTTAATAAGTTAGTTATTTAATTAATTAGTATCTAAGTTATCTTGTAAGTTAGTTAGTGACTAAATTAGTTAGTTAGTTAGTAGCTAAGTTATCTTGTAAGTTAGTTAGTAACTAAGTTAGTTAGTTAGTTAATAACTTTGTAAGTTAGTTAGTAAGTTAGTTAGATAGTAAGTTAGTTAGTTAGTTCCTAAATTAGTTTGTAAATAAATTAGTTAATAAGTTAGTTATTTAATTAATTAGTATCTAAGTTAGTTTGTAAGTTAGTTAGTGACTAAGTTAGTTAGTTAGTTAATAACTTTGTAAGTTAGTTAGTTGGTAAGTTAGTTAGATAGTAAGTTAGTTAGTTAGTAACTTAGTAATTAAGTAATTTAGTTAGTTAATACTTTGTAAGTTAATAGTAAGTTAGTTAGTGCCTAAATTAGTTAATAAGTTATAGTTGGTAAGTTAATTAAGTTAGTTAAATAAAGTAGATAGTAAGTTATTTGGTAAGTTAGTTAATTAGTTATTAAGTTAGTTTGTCTCTAAATTAGTAAAATAGTTTAGTATCCTAGTAAGTGGGTTGGTAAGTTAATTACTTTGGTTAGATAGTAAGTTAGTTCATTATTGGTAAGTTAGTTATTTAGTGAGTTATTTTGTTAGTAACTAAGTAAGTTAGTTAATAAATTAGTTAGTGATTCTAATTAAAAATCTCAAAACAATACTTGTAAAAGGGTTTATAATTAGAGAAATAAAATGATATCTTGATATCTATTAATCCAAAACACAAATGATAATAAACAAATAACCCCTCCAGCTGTCTGATCTCGTTTGCTTTGCTTTACCGTAAACTATCAGCGCTACGTCCATGGATCGGAGTATTTCCGAATCAAAAAGAGCCTTCACTATTGGAGCAGCAGTTTTCACAACTGTCCACTTCGTCATCCTCTCTATTCCGCCCAAGTTTCCAGCCCAGTATTGAGTATTTCCAATTGTCAGATTTTCAAGCCGATAGTCGGCAAAGCTTTACCTAAATTTCTTTTTATTTGCATAAATGTGAAAGACTACAATACAATGCTGTTAAATCTAGTTCAAACTTTTTATTTTTATTTAATGCCCAGCATTCGTAAAATTTAGAAAATTAGTTATTTCTCATAAAATAAATTTGTATAAATGAAAGATTTATATTTGAAAAAAAAATTAGGACTCAATTACACTCGATTCTTGATTGCGTCTTGTTTATCAATAAGAGCACAATTATTTATAATCTTAAAAGAGAAATTACTTTTTGTTGAGTGAAATTTAGCGAAAATTTTTTATTTTTCTATTATCGTTTATTCTCCCTGTAAATTTAGAAGTAAATTTTTTACTATCCTCAAAAATGTCTAAACGACAAGCAGAAACTGGTGATTCAAGTTCACAGCCACCGATTAAAAAAGTTCAATTCGAACCAATTTTAATTGGGCCCATTTCAACTTTAGAAGAAATGGACATGAAGGTTTTGCAGTTTCAAAATAAAAAATTGGCTCAGGTAAGATCATTTCTCAATTGAAGAATAACCAATAGACTGAATATGAAAAATAATTTTTTGGAGTAAAAAAAATTTAAGTATTTAATGATAGTTTTGAAAAAAATATGAGTCACTTTTAAGAATAAAGTAATTTGTTTTCTTTTATTTAATGAGATCAAGATCCAAGGGCTGAAGAGTCTTTCAAGGAATAAAGTACATAATTGTGAAAATAGTAATTAATAAAAAAAATTATAAACAATTACACTTTGAGCGAAGATATGTCTTAAAAAATTGTTTTTTTAATAAATTTACTTTATTTCATATTGCAATTAAACTTTTTTTATGAAAATGATGTTTTGCGATAATTTTTCTTAATTATTTGAACAATCAGCAAAACAAGCGCGCGCGTGAAATTTTCGTTGCAATTGTTACTTTAAAAAATTTGCTTTTTGAAATATAATAAAAATTCTTCATTTTTTTTAATACATAATTTTTTTTAACAATTTTTTTTTAAATTTAATTATTTCAACAACTCGTAAAGAAATTTCTAAAATATTTCTAAAAGCAACTTGAATGTAAGATATTTTTGAATAAATTATTTTCCAAATTTTCAATTAGAATTCTTCAAAAATACGATTATATTTCAAAAAAAAGTAAACAAATAAAATTCATTAAAATATTACAGTTATTTCAATGAAATTTGACAAGATTTTCAATTGTTTCAATTTTTTGAAATTATTTTCAGAAAAAATGCAATTATTTTTAGAAAATTTTAATTGCATTTTTTCAAGAAACAAATTTTCCCGGAATTTCTAAATTAAATAAATAAATAATTAAATAACTTAAATATTTTTTATTAAACAAAAATTTTATTAAACTTATTCTTATTTATTTTTCTACAGGAATTAAAATTTCAAATAATTTCAATGAAAAACCTTTTGAAATTGAAATATTTATAAAAAATAAAATTATATTTACAGATAATTTTTAAAGATGAAAAAATAAATTTCTTTAAAATATTAAATTTTCCAAAATTTCCCATTGTTTTTTATTTTTTAAAATTATTTTTGTAAAAAAAATATTTAAATACTTATTGTTCTTTATTTGCTTTAAATATCAAAATACTTTCAATGTAAAACCATTTGAAAAATTTTTTATGAAAAATTATGCTCAAAAAATATTAAAAAATACTCGTCAAAATTTCAATTATCTTTATAAATAATAAAATTCTTCTCCGACATTCAATTATTTTGAAAATTTTAATAAAATTTTTGTCAAAATTTCAATTATTTTCAAAAATTTTCTTCAATTAAATGATTTACAATATCTACTATTTCAATAAAATTATCCAAAAGAATTCATTTATTTAAAAAAAGTGTTAATAAAATTCTACGCAAACATTTTTAATTATTTTCAAATAATAAAACTCATTGCAGAATTTCAATTATTTTAACAAAATTCTAAGCAAATTCTTTGAAAAATGTAATTATTTTGGAAAATTTTATTAAAATTCGTCGAAAATATTCAATTATTTAAAAATTTGTTCATAAAATTCTTTATAGAAATTGAATTTTAAGAAACATTCAATTATTCAATAAATTATTTATTTTTGTATTTAAATAATATTGACTTCTCGTAGAATTTTCTAATAAAAATTGATTTAAAAATGAATTTCAGTTAAAAGTTTAGATAATAATTGAATATTAAAAGCATTAAAGCATGAATTTTTAAAAATAATTGAATTTTGAAAACGTTGCAAATTAAAATCTTTGAAAATCTGAATTTTTCATACTTTTAACTAACAATTCTGTAGAATTAATTTTTTGAAAAAGTGAAATTGAATTTTTTTAAAATTATTTTCTAAACATTTAATTGAAGAATTTCCGAATAATCGAAATTTCGTAAAATGGAATTGTAATGAAATGGATTTGAAAAATAGATTTCAAAGAACTTTTTTAAATATTAAAAATAATTTATATAAAGCAGAATTTTAGTTAAAAATTGTAGAAAATAAATTTTGTTTTAAAGTCTTTTTAAAAAAAGTAACAAAAATAAAAAAATTTTAAAAAGGGTTAAATAAGTTCTCTTAGTTTGTTATTGTAAACTAATGATTTTCGTAAATGTTTCCAATTTTAGAGAAATAAATAAAAAAAATTAGTACATGAGAAAATTAAGCAACTTTTATTCAAAAATTAAATTACTTTCATTTTTTTTAAATATAAATTAATTCTTATTTTACAGAGATTAGAGCAACGTCATCGGATGGAAGCTGAACTCCGTCAAAGAATAGAACAATTAGAAAAACGTCAAACACAAGATGATGCAGTTTTAAATGTTGTCAATCGATATTGGAATCAATTAAATGAAGACATTCGTGTTTTACTTCAAAGATTTGATGCCGAAACAGCTGATGAATCAGAAAATAAAAGTACGTAAAAGAAAAATATTCTATGTTGCAAATTTTAGATAAAAGAAATTTTTTTCTATACTCATTTTGTGTTCTTGAAAATTGTTTCAAATTATTATTAAATTCATTGCAGATGAAAGTGAAGCAACAACATCTTTTCTCATGCAACTTTCTTCATGGGACAAGGAAGAACTTGATGATAAATTGGCTAATCGTGTTCAAGTTTCAAAACGCGCCGTTTCAAAAGTCGTTCAAGCCTTTGATCGTCTCTCTCAAAGAAATGAAAAAATTACTATTGCTCTTAAGGGCGAATTCGAAGGAGGTATTTATCATATTTTCATCATAAAATAGGAATAACACTAACCATAGTGTAGTATTAATAAAATTAATAATAATAATAATATTAATCTAAGTGAGAACATAAAAATATATTACAGGCTTCGTACTCATGATTTTCATAAAAAATTTTAAAAAACTTAGATTTTTGAAAAATTGTAATAATTCATATTCTTCTGAAATTAGTTAAATTTTTTAATATGCATTTAATTAATTGTTAAAAATAATGGATTTATAGCTAAGGATTTTAGTTGAAAACACTAAAAAAATTGAATTTTGGAGAAGTTATAATTGATTGCCGAAATTCAATTATTTTTGAAAGTAAAAAAATTCTTTGCAGAAATTCAATTGTGTTCAAATATTTAAAAAAAAAAATTGTCAAAATTTCAATTATCATTATAAACAATAAAATTTTTCTTCAAAATATCAATTATTTTCAAAAATTTTAATAAAATTCTTGTCAAAATTTCAATTATTTTCATCAATTCAATGATTTTCAATATATTTACTATTTTAATAAAATTTTTTGAAAGAATTCAATTACTTAAAAAAAATTTTTAATAAACTTCTACGCAAACATTTATTTATTTTCATAAATATTAAAAATTTCACAGAAATTCAATTATTTACGAATTTTTTTATAAATTTTTTTGCAATAGTTCCATTATTTTCATAAATCTTTAAGAATTTAATTATTTTCATAAATAATTAAGTTCTTGTTGGGAATACAATATTATTTTCAAATAATAAAACTCCTCACAGATTTTAAATTATTTTTTAGTACAATTTTAATCGAATTCCTCGAAAATCGTAATTCTAATCTTCAAAATTTTATTTAAATTCGTCGAAAGAATTCAATTATTTAAAAATTTGTTGATAACATTCTTTATGAGAATTTTATTTTGAGAAACATGCAATTATTCAATAAATTATTTATGTTTGCATTTAAATAATTGAATTCTCGTAGAATTTTCTAATAAAAATTTATTTAAATATGAATTTCAGTTCAAATTTTAGATAATAATTGAATATTAAAAATATTATTAAAATATTAAAAATAATTGAATTTTGAAAAGGTTTTCAGGAATTTTTATAAAATTCATTGTAAAATTCAATTATTTTCAAGATTTTTTATAAAATTCATTGCAAAATTCAATTATTTTCATAAATAATATTATTCATCACAAGAATTCAATGATTTTCAAAAATAATAAAATTCAATTATTTTCAAAAGTAATGAAATTCAATTATTTTCAACAGTAATAAAATTCAATTGTTTTCAAAAGTATTATAATTGAATTGTTTTCAACAGTAATAAAATTCAATTATTTTCTAAAAAAATATAAATTTCACAGGAATTCAATTATTAAAAATAGAATTTACATACATTTTTTCAAAAAAATCAAATTTTTAAAAATTTGGCATTAAATTCTTCGCAGTAGTTCAATTATTATTTTAATAAATTTTCAAATTCTTTTCAGGGATTTAATTACTTTTATAAATAATAAAATCATTCGGAGGAAGTTAATTATTTTCATAAATAACAATATTCATCACAAGAATTCAAATATTTTCAAAATTAATAAAATTCAATTAAAAAATTTCAATTCTTTCACAGGAATTCAATTATTGAAAATGGAATTCGCATACATTTTTTCGAAAAATATCAATTGTTTGAAACTTTTATTTTTAATAAAATTCTTCACAATAATTCAATTATTTTCATAAATAATGAAAATCATTGCAGAATTTCAATGATTTTTAATACAATTTTAATCGAATTCTTCCAAAAATGTAAATATTTTTACAAATTTTAATCAAATTCTTTGAAAGAATTCAATTATTTTTCTGAATTTTAATGAAATTCTTTAAAACAATTAAATTGTTTTCAATTTAATTTTAATAAAAATTTTTGAAAGAATTCAATTATTTTCATAATTAATATACAATTCTCATAGAAATTCAATTTTTTAAAACACAATTTTCATAAAATTTTTTGAAAAAAATCATTTTTTTAGAAAATTTCTTTTTAAAATTCTTCTCGAGAATGTAATTATGTATTTTAAAAATTTTACTAAAGTTCGGTGACAAAAATTCAATTATTTTCATAAATAATTATTTATTTATTATTATTTATTATTTATTTATTATTTTTAATATAATTTTAAATTAATATTCCTCTAAAAACGCAATTATTCTAAAAAATTTTAATAAAATTCTTCAAAAAAAATTCAATTATTTGTTTATTTTTGTATTTAAATAATTGAATTATTGTAAAATTTTCTATTAAAAATTGATTTAAAAATGAGTTTCAATTAAAATTTTAGATAATAATTGAATTTTTAAAATGTTTTTAATAATTGCAATTTTTAAAAATAATTGAATTTTTAAAATGTTTTTAATAATTGCAATTTTTAAAAATAATTGAATTTTTAAAATGTTTTTAATAATTGCAATTTTTAAAAATAATTAAATTTTGTAAAGGTTTCAATTTAAAATGTTTGAAAATCTGAATTTTTCATACTTTTAATTAAAAATTCGATGGAACTAATTTTTTTTAAAAAACTTAATTGAAATTTTTTAAAATTATTTCAAGTTTTTATTTTTTAATGTATATTTAATTGAAAAGTTTTCGAACAATTAAAATTTTAAAAAAACGTAAAATTGAATTGTTAACAAATGGATTTGAAAATTCTCAAAGAACTGTTTAAAAAATTATTAAAAATAATTAATTTAAAGAAGAATTTTAGTTAAAAATTCTAGAAAATAATAATTGAATTAGAATTATCTTATTTTATAATATTTCAAATAATGATTAACACTCGGTCATCTTTAATTTTATTATAAGTTGTTGAATTTCAAAAAGGTTTGAATTTGAAATTTTTAAAAATCCTAATTCCTATGGAAAAATAATAATGATTAAATATTTATTTTAAATGAAATTTTTTATTTGAAAATTTTAACTAAAATTTATATAATTGATTTTTGAAAGAATTCGAGTTGTAATTTTTAGAAATAGTTAAATTTCAAGAAGATTTTACATTGAAATCAAATAAAATATTTTAATTCCAGTTGAAGAGTAAATAATTATTCAAATATTTATTTAACAAAAATTATTCAAGTGTTAAATGTAATTTAATTTAGAAATTTTGAAAAAAGTATTTGGAAAAATTGTAATAAACATTTTTTTTAAAGAAAATTAAAGAAATTAAAATTTAGAAAATACCTAATTGAATTTTGTAAAAATTTTGAATTGAAATTTTTAAGTATAAAATAAGAAAAAAAGAAATTATTTTTGATGAAAATTGGAAAAAATTCAAAAATAAAATTTTTGTGAATTGTCTAAAACAAGTTTTTTTAGTCGTCAAATTTAATTTTTCGATAGCTACTTTTTTTTACTAATTTTTTCAGTCATAATGCTAGTTTTTGATATTTGTTTAAAATGATTTATTGAGTGCGAAGCCTGTATATAATAAAAATAAAAAAAGAATTAATAAAATATTAAATAATAATAAATAAATAAATGATAATAAAAGATTTAAAAATGTTTTTATTTTACAGAAGAAGCGCCAAACATCGATGAAGTTGTACGAAACGCAAATACTGAGATACAATCAGAAAATAGAAATTTACAAGCTATTAATCTTCAGCTACATGAGAAGTATCATACAATATCGCTTAAGGTAATTGTAAATTTATTTATACATATATAAAAATTTTTTAAATTGTCAAAATAAATAACATTTTCAATAAATTTCCACTGTGAAAATGTGAATATTTGAAAGGAAAAAAATGTTTCTAGATGTCAGAACTTCAGGATACAATAACGGGTAAAGATACTTTGGCGGCAGAATTGAGAAATCAAGTTGATGACTTGCAGTACGAATTGAATAAAGTGCGTGCACGCAATGACAAATTAGAACATCATTTAGGAGAAGCTATTGAAAAGTTGAAAGCCTTTCAACAGATTCATGGATCTGATGATAAGGGTACTAATAAGTCGAATACACTCGTTGCCTCCAGTGTATCGCAGACGAAAGTTGAAGACCTTCAGAGGGAATTGGAAGAGACTCGAGAAATGGCCAATAATCGACTACAAGAACTTGATAAACTTCATCAACAACATCGCGATGCACTCAAGGAAGTGGAGAAATTAAAAATGGATGTAAGTAAAAATTCAATGCTTGCATTCAAGAGTCTAGATTTATTTATTTATTTTTGAATTATTTTTTTTTTTTTTTTAACGAAAATATGATTATTTTCAGATCCGACAATTGCCAGAATCCGTTATCGTTGAAACCACCGAATACAAATGTTTACAGTCCCAATTTTCTGTTTTGTATAACGAATCTATGCAATTAAAGACACAATTGGATGACGCTCGACAACAATTGCAAACAAGTAAAAATGCTCATTTACGGCACATTGAAATGATGGAGGTAGGTTTCTATTATTTATTCATTAATATTATTAACTATTACTATATAGTTTCGTATTCTTTCAATTCTTTCATTTTTTCTGTCTGTCCACACTTTGAAGTTAGTTTTTGTATATGCTTCTGTTTTTTTCTTTAAAAAATATTGTTTTATAAATGGGAAATATGCAGGTGTTTTTTTTTATAATTTATAATAAAATAATATTTTAAATTAGAAAAATTTTAAAAACTCATGATTAATAAATAAAAAATATACCCATTTTGTTTATTATATGCTTTTTTCTATAACAAATTAACAAATTTCGTTTGAGTGACTGAACTAAATTTTTCTACTTTTTATTTATAAAAAATAGAAAATTGTTAATTGTTAAAAAATTATGATTAAGAAATAGGAAATATACCCATTTTATGCATAATTTTTATTTATCTATAACAATATTTGTTCATAAACTGATTCTTTTCTTTTCGAAAAAAAAACATTATTCCCGTCTCTTAATATTTTTGTAGAAAATTCTCAATTTTCATAAGAAAATAATTTACATCATTTCTATTTCTAAATTACAATTGTTTTTATAAAATTCAAAGTTTTTTTTTTAAAATAAAGGAAAAAAATGTTTATAAATTCTACTTGTCAATTACAAATTTTAATTCAAGATGAAATTGAAAATTTTTGAATTTTTAGAAAATAAGGCAAAAAATTTTACTCGAAAAAAAAAATTTTTCTACATTTCATTTACGAATTTCTTTAATTGTAAAATTATTCGGAAACGTCAATAACTTCTTTTTTAAATAAATATTGAATTATTATTATTTTTCCATGGGAATTAAGGTTTTCAAAAATTTCAAATTCAAACCTTTTTGAAATTCAACAACTTATAAAAATATCTCTTCATGTTTTATAATAATTTAAGAAGATCGAGTAATAAAATCATTATTATTTTATATTATAAGAATACTGCAAATTCTTTAACATTATTTTTATCATTTCAATTCAATTATTATTTTCTAGAATTTTTAACTAAAATTATTTCTCAATTAAATTTATTTTAGAAAATAAAAACTTCAAATAACTTCAAAAAAAAAAAAAAAATTCAAATAAACTTTTCAAAAAAATTAATTCTACAAAATTGTTAGTTCAAAGTATGAAAAATTCTGATTTTCAAAGATTTTAATTTGAAAACGTTTCAAAATTCATTTATTTAAAAAAAATTAACGCTATAATGCTTTTAACATTCAATTATTATCCAATATTTTAACTAAACTCATTTTTAAATCAATTTTTATTAGAAAATTCTACGAGAATTCAATTATTTAAATACAAGAATAAATAATTTATTGAATAATTGAATATTTCTCAAAATTAAATTCTCATAAAGAATTTTATCAAAAAATTTTTAAATAATTAAATTTTTTCGACGAATTTTAATAAAATTTTCAAAAATAATTACATTTTTGCAAGGAATTTGCTTAAAATTTTGTTAAAATAATTGAAATTCTGCAATGAGTTTTATTATTTATGAAAATAATTGAATTATTACAAAGAATTTTATTATTTATAAAAGATAATTGAATTATTGCGAATTATTTATAAAAAATTTGTAAATAATCGAATTCCCAACAAGAATTTTATTATTTATGAAAATAATTGAATTATTGCGAATTATTTATAAAAAATTTGTAAATAATTGAATTCCCAACAAGAATTTTATTATTTATGAAGATAATTGAATTAATGCGAATTATTTATAAATAATTTGTAAATAATTGAATTCTTTTGGGTAATTTTATTAAAATAGTAGATATTGGAAATTATTGAATTGAGGAAAATTTTTGAAAATAATTGAATTTTGAAGAAGAATTTTATTATTTACAAAGATAAATGAAATTTTGACAATTTTTTAAAATTACTGAACATAATTGAATTTCTGCAAAGAATATTTCTTAAAATTTAATTCTTATAAAGAATTTTATCAACAAATTTTTAAAAATAATTACATTTTTCGTTGAATTCGATTAAAGTTGTATTAAAAATAATTGAAATTCTGCGATGATTATGAATTATTTATGAAAATAATTAAATTCCTAAAAAAATTGTATTATTTATAAAAATAATTGAATTACTGTGAAGAAATTTATAAAAATTTTGTAAATAACAGAATTCGTGTTAAATTTTTATTATTTACGAAAATAACTAAATGTTTGCGTAGAATTTTGTCCAAATTTTTTTTAAATAATTGAATTCTTTTGGAAAATTTGATTAAAATAGTAGATATTGAAAATCATTGAAATAAGGATATTTTTTGAAAATAATTGAATTTTTGACAAGAATTTTATTGACATTTTTGAGAATAATTGAATTTTGGAAAAGTATTTTGTTTGTTTAGAAAGATAATTGAGATTTTGACGAGAATTTTTTTAAAATTTTGAACATAATTAAATTTTGTGAGAAGAATTTTATGATTTTTGAAAAAAATTTAATTTTTGCAATTTTTTGTAACTTTTCCAACATTAAATTTTTTTAGCGTTTTTCAACTAAAATTATTCTATAAATCCATTATTTTTAATAATTAATTAAATATATATTAAAAAATGTAAGTAATTTCAGAAGAATTTAAATTATTAACATTTTTTAAAAATCTAAGTTCTTTAAAATTTCTAATTATATTCATTGAAAATTGAAATTTTATAAAATTTTGAATTAAAACCTTTTGAAGTTGATCTATATTATGAAAATTGTTAACACAACTCTTTTAAAATTCAATTAATTTGAAAATATTTAAGTAAAATTATTCATTAAATAATTTAGAAGTAATAATTTTATGAAAGTTCTTTAAGAATTATGTTATTTGAAAAGAAATTATTGTCAGAAATAGAAAATTTTAAAGGTTTTGTATTAGAATTCGTGTCAATTTCATAGTTTTTGAGGCAAACAAAAAAGACACAAAAATTCAGAATTTTCTCATGAATTCTTAAAATTTAATTATATTTTATTTTTTTTTGTTTTTATGAAAAAAAATTTGAATTAAAAATTTTTAAATTCTATTATTTTTAAAATTGTTAACTTTTTTTTAAAAAAAAGTAAGAAGTTAGCGAATTGTAGGTAGTTCATTATTATTAATATGCTTGGTTTTTATGTAATTTTCAGTGAACTGTTGTTATTATAATTAACTGCAAAAAATTTGTTTCTTAAGAGTGAAGAACTTATGGCTCAGAAGAAATTACGCGGTGAGTGTATTCAACTCGAAGACGTTCTCGCCCAATTACGTAAGGAATATGAAATGCTACGTATCGAATTCGAACAAAATTTAGCAGCGAATGAACAAACAGGACCAATAAATCGAGAAATGAGACATCTTATTACTTCACTTCAAAATCATAATCAACAACTTAAGGGTGAAGTTCATCGGTATAAACGAAAATATAAGGATGCATCGACTGAAATTCCAAAATTAAAGAAGGAAGTCGAGGAGTTGACTTCGAAACTCGGACAGCAGAATGCGCAGGACAATAAAGAGGGAAATAATTCTGATGGCAGTGGAAAAGAAGAGGATCCTTCTAATCCTGTACCTGGTTCTGCTCAGGTAATTTTGTTTTATTTAATTATTTCTTATTTATTTTTATGTGTTTTCATCAGGCTTCGCAATCATATATTAAAACCCACTATTTACTATTTTTTTTAAAATAATTTTTACAAGCCTTGGATATTTTTTACTTTTTCTACTTTCTACGACTATTTACAAAAAATGCGACTTTTTCTCGATTTATTTTCAAAAATTGCGGCTTTTCAGACTTTTTTTCAAAATCAACTTTTGTAGAATTTTAATTGCCAATTTATATTTAATTTGAAAATTACCCGTTCTAGGCTTCGCACTCATCTACTAAAACCTACTATTCACTACTTTTTTTACCTTATGCTACTATTTGGGTACTTTTTTTTAGATTTCAGCCACTAAAAGTGATTTCTGTTTTTTTTGAGAATTTCCACGACATTAAATTCGCTAATACTAGAAATCAAAAAACTATTCTCAAAAATTAAAATCAAATTCTTTAAAACGATTCAATTATTTTCGAAATTCAATTATTTTCAATATCTAGTCTTTTTATTAAATTTCGCAAAAAAATTCAATTTAAAAAAAATTGATAAAATTCATCCAAAATTCAATTATTTTCATGAATAATAAAATTTCCACAGGAATTCAATTAATTTAAAATAGCATTTTCAAAAAAATTTCGAAAAAATCAATTATTTAAACAAAATTTTTATAAAATTTTTCACAATAATTCAATTATTTTCACTAATAATAACATTTTTCGTGGATATTCAATTTTTTAAAAAAATGTTTGATAAAATTCTAAACTAGAATTCAATTATTTTCATAAATAATAAAACTTATCGAAGAGTTTCAATTATTTTTAATACTGTTTTAAAAAAATTAATTCATTGAAAAATTCAATTATTGTCACAAATATAGTTTTTCACGAGAATTCAATTATTTAAAATAAAATTTTCATAATATTTATTATATTTCGAAAAAAAATAATTATTTAAAACAATGTTTATAAAATTCTTATAAAAAACTCAATTATTTTCAAAAAAAACAAAATTTTTCACAGAAATTCAATTCTTTTTAAATATTTTAATAAAATTTTTCGAAATAATTCAATTATTTTCATAAATAATAAAATTCTTCTAAGGAATTCAATTATTTTTGAAAATTTTAGTAAAATTCTTTGCAAGTATTCAATTATTTTCATAAATAACAATATTCATCACAAAAATTCAATTATTTTTAAGAGTAATACATTTTTCTTGGAAATTCAATTCTTTAAAAAAATTCCAGTAAAATCGTTAGCCCAAGAAATCAATTTTTTTTCATAAATAATAAAATGCATTTTAGGAATTCAATTATTTTAAACAAAATTTAATAAAAAGCCACAAAAATATTCAATTATTCTCAAAAATTTTAATAGAATTCTTTATAAAATTTAATTATTTTTAAAAACTTTTCGCAATTCAATGATTTTTAATATCTACTATTTTCATAAAATTTCCAAACAGAATTCAATTATTTAAAAAATGTTTTGTAAAAATCTTCGTAAGAATTCAATTCTTTTCATGAATAATGAAAATTTCTCAGGAGTTCAATTATTAAAATTAGAATTTGCATAAAATTAGTCGGAACAAATCAATTATTTAAAAATTTTTATGAAATTCTTCGCAAGAATTAAATTATTTTTATAAATATTTAAATTCTTTGATGAATAATAAAATTCGTTGCAGGAATTCAATTTATTAGCAGGATAAGAAAGAAGTAAATATTTTTGATGAAAATTAGAAAAAAGTCAAAAAAATAAAATATAGAATAAAATTTTTGTCAGCTTTGTGAAGTGTCTAAAACGAGTTCTTTTGGTCTTCAAGTTTAATTTTTCGATAGCTACTTTTTTACTATTTCTTTTTAGTTTGAAAGTTACTTTTTGCTACTTTTTTAAAATTAATAATCGAGTGTGAAGTCTGAAGTTAAAAAAAATCTTTGTAATAAATTTTATGTGCTATATAATACAATATTTTTTGCTTAATTTGGAAGTTCACTTTTTTTTAAAACTGAAGTCCCTTTTTAAAAAATAAAATCCCTTTTTTACTTAATATTATGTGAAAAAATCACTTTCTATGTTTTTATATGATTGAATTGAACTCTAATTCATTAGCCATTTATTTTATGTCAAATTTAATAAACTGTCTTTTTGTCAGATAAAGGAAGAAAATAATACAATGATAAAACGAGAGGTGGGAATCGATGAAGAATTAGAAACAATAGAAGTTGGAGAAACTGAAGGAAATAAAGTAGCTCATGAATCATCTACATTAACTTCACCAGTATTAAAAAAGGAAAAAGACATTAAAAGGGAAAAGGATTTGAAGAAAGAAACTGTGAAAACAGAACATCGAGACCCAGCTCACAGGGCATCGAAAGATGCAAAAGCAGTCGAAGCCGAAATTGTTCGAGACCTAAAAGCACAGTTGAAGTAATTTTTTCTTAAGATTTAATTTTTTAATGGAACTTGAAAAGTATTGTAATACTGTTACAATTTTTATAATATATGTAGAAGTTACTATTTTTATTATATTCGATTTTTTATTTTTTTTTATAGAAAAGCCGTAAATGAAATGAAGGAAATGAAACTGCTTTTGGATATGTACAAAGGTGTGGGAAAGGAGCAACGCGATAAAGTTCAACTAATGGCTGCTGAGCGAAAAACAAGAGCTGAACTTGAAGAATTAAGGCAGCAGATTAAAAAAATACAGGTTTGAAAAAATACAAACTTAAAATTAGTAATAAAAAAATATTAAAAAAACTTAAAATTTTAAAATTAGCTGACAATTTAATTTTTTCTGTTATTTCTCTTATTTTTTTGTTTTTGTTCTTTTTTTCTCATTAAATGCCTTTGTATACAGAATAATTAATATTTTGCACTTTATAATTTTTATCGCTTTTGTGAAAGTTTGAAAATTGAATTTAAAGGAAAGTAAACGAGAGGAGAGAAAGAAGTTGGCCGACGAGGACGCTCAAATGAAGATCAAAAAATTGGAGGAACAAACGTACTCTTTACAAAAACAAGTTGCATCACAGAAGCAGGTATTTAATGTTTTCCCCTAAATTTTTCCCAATTTTGCGCACATACACCACAAGTAATTAAATTTTAAAAATAGCATATTTCGAAAAGCAAAAAAAAAAAAAAATTGAAAAATATGGTAATTGAAAATTTATTTGACGGTGGTGAGTGCGCATGAATCTGTTTAACGAGTTGTTATCAGAGACTTTGAGCTCGAACGGTGTTGTAACGCTGAACAGAGTTGTGTGTGGCTTCAGGAGGAGGAAGCTCTACTTAACGAAATGGAAGTAACAGGTCAGGCATTCGAGGACATGCAGGAGCAAAATTCAAGGCTGATTCAACAATTGCGGGAGAAGGATGACGCTAACTTCAAATTGATGACGGAGCGCATAAAGAGCAATCAGTTGCATAAACTTGCGAGGTATGTATATTGTGTTTTTTGTGAAAAATATTTTTTAAACGAACACGATAAAATTCCATTAGTATTTTTTTAAAAAAACAGGGCTCGAACTAGTTCATCAATTGTACGATGTTATATGGAGAATTTTAGAAAAATTACAAATGATTGCAGAAATTCAATTATTTTCAAAAGTAATAAAATTCTTCGCAGATATTCAATTGCGTTTAAACATTTTTTTAAATTCTCGTCAAATTTTCAATTATCTTTATAAATATAATAAAATTCTTCTCCAAAATTCAATTATTTTCAAAAATTTTAATAAAACTCTTGGCAAAATTTCAATTAATTTCAAAAAATTTTCTTCAATTAAATAATTTTCAATATGTACTATTTCAATAAAATTTTCCAAAAGAATTCAATTATTTCAAGAAAATTTTAAACAAGTTCTACTCGAACATTTAATTATTTTCATAAATAATAAAAATTTCACAGGAATTCTGTTATTTACAAAATTTTTATAAATTTCTTCACAGTAATTCAATTATTTTCATAAATAGTAGGTACAATTTTTTTTAGGAATTTAATTATTTTCATAAATAATTCATAATCATCGCTGAATTTCAATTATTTTTAACACAACTTTAATCGAATTCAACGAAAAATGTAATTATTTTTAAAAAATTGTTGATAAAATTCTTTATAAGAATTCAATTTTAAGAAACATTCTTTGCAGAAATTCAATTATGTTCAGTAATTTTGAAAAATTGTACAATTTCAATTATCTTTATAATAAAATTCTTCTTCAAAACTCAATTATTTTGAAAAACTTTAATAAAATTCTTCTCAAACTTTCAATTATTTTTAATAAATACATAATTCAATTATCTTCATAAATAATAAAATTCTTGTTGGGAATTCAATTGTTTTTAAATAATAAAACTCATTGCAAAATTTCAATTATTTTTAATACAATTTTAATCAAATCCCTCGTAAAATGTAATTATTTAAAAAATTTTTATTAAAATTTATCAAAATAATTCAATTAATTAAACATTTAATGATAAAATTCTTTAATTGAATTGAATTTTAAGAAACATTCAATTACTAAATAAATGATTTATTTTTTAATTTAAAAAATTGAATTCTTTCAGAATTTTGTAATAAAAATTGATTTAAAAATGAATTTCAGTTCAATTATAATTCAATATTAAAAGAATTATAGCGCGACTTTTTAGAAATAATTGAATTTTGAATAGGTTTCAAATTAAAATCTTTGATAATATGAATTTTTCATATTTGCAAATAGCAATTCTGTGGAATTCATTTTTTTGAAAAAGTTTAATTGCGGATTCTTTTTTGAAAATATTTTTGAAGTATTTATTTTCTAATTGAAGAATTTCCGAATAATTGAAATTTTGCAAAATTGAATTGTAAACAAATGAATTTGAAAATTCTTAAAACACTTTTTCAAAAGTTATTAAAAATAATAGATTTATAGAAAATTTTTTGTTAAAAACAAAAAAAAATTACTTCAAATATATATAAACAAAATTTAATTTTGGAGAAGTTACAAATTATTGCAGAAATTATTTTAAAAAATAATAAAATTCTTCTTAGGGATTCAATTATTTTCATAAATAATAAAACTCATTGCAGAATTTCCATTATTATTTTTAATACAATTTTAATTAAACTCCTCGGAAAATTTGTATTAAAACACAGAATTTAATTACTTAAAAATTTGTTGAAGAAATTCTTTATGAGAATTGAATTTTAAGAAAAATTGAATAAATTATTTCTTTTTGTATATTTAAATAATTGAATTCTAGTAGAATTTTCTAATAAAAATTGATTTACAAATGAATTTCAGTTCAAAATTTTAGATAATAATTAAATATTAAAAGCAATATAGCCTGAATTTTTAGAAATAATTCTGTTAACTTCTCGAAGTACTCCATCTATGAATTCATTGCCTTCTATCAAGGAGGCAATGGAATGGAAGAGAACCCACAAAAATCTGAAGACTCAAGGTGGGCTCGTACTAGTCCTCAGTAAACCATGATCACAATTGAAGAATTAGTACCCCAGGAGATCTTGCACATTGCTTTTAATATATCTTGTAATGGGTTTTTCATCAAATCTATAATGTTTATAAGTTTTTACAACAAACAATCAAATCAAGAAATTATTATCAACCATAATAATAGCAATAACAAAGAAAATTATTATCTTTAATAAACAAACAAAATAAACAAGATCCAATTTTATAAACATTGCGTATAAAGAAAAATATCAACAACAAAAGAAAATATTAAATTTTAGCCAAAGTCTTTATACCCAATACAATTGGAAAGAAGGAGATAGGGATACTTCATACTCTTCTCGACTCAAAATAATTTGTTGAGCGCCAGTCCTTTCTAGGGACATTTTCTAATAAAAGAAAATTAGAGATTGACAAAATTGAAAGGGGGTGATTCCAAGGAAACAAGACCACCAGGTTAATTCCTCAAAATTCACAATTCAAAAATTATTAACAATATCAAGTACCTAGATTCTAGAGAAACAAGACCACCAGGTTAATTCTCTAGCAATCGTCACTTTTAAACAAAATAAGATTAAACTAATCATTTAATAAAAATTAAATAAAATAATTTAATAATAGACTGATAAAATTATTACTTCCAATAAAAACATTTTTAACCAAATAAATTAATAGACTTTGAGTTCCAAACTCAAAGAAAAGTCTCTTTTTCAGCCATGAGGTCGGCTGAATTAAATTTTACAATTTTCCATTGTCATTTTCAATAAAAAAAATTGATTTAAAATAACAAAACTTACAAAACCGAAGAACAAAGCCAGAGAAAAGAAAGAAACCGAAGAAAATGACACAAAATGATTCAATTAAGAACTTAAAAATTTCGAGAATTAGAAATCACGTCTGGACAGGCCAAGAGCAGGATCCTAAGAGAACGATGATAACGATGATTGCCGGCTCGTACCCTGCTAGTCCTTCTCCGCTTCTCCCCGCTGGTAGCCCTTCACGAATCTTGTATTCTTACGCCGGAAAAAGGAGCATAATTGCTGGAAAAATGACAAGGCCTATTTCCATTTTAAGAACAGCTTTCTGCTTCCAAATCCCGGTATCCTGACCCGTGTCTTTCTCGCCGACAACTGCGTCAGGGAATTAGTCACTAATTTGTAGCTACTCTGATTCAAAACTAAATAAAACAACCAAATAAACCAAACAAATTAACCAAAGTACAAAAATTTGATCAGAGCGGGCCTTTAGAGACAATTAATTCGGGCCTGAATAACAAGAAGTTTTCACTACGAAGAAAAATTGACGAGAAAATTCTCCCTTATTTGTTCATAAATAATACTCCGGAATAATAATATAGTTAATAATATTCAGAGTATTATTATTATTTATAACAATTTTCGGGTTAGGTACAAGAAAAGGTAGCAATTTCAAAATTATTTCAAGCTAAGTTGGGTGACTTAGTAGTTTCCGGTAGGTAGGGGAAAGCGAAAACGGGGAAAACATAGCGAAAGCGGCAAGTCTCGAAGAGTCATTTCTCAAGAGAAAAAAATATTGAAAATATTGAAACAGGAAATCTTCTATCGAAATATATTTAGTAAAATAAAGATTACACTCACCTGGCGAAGCCGGGTTAAAAGCCGCCAGGGGTTCAGAGTTTGTTAAAATATCAAATTTATAAAATTAAGGAGGGCGCCAGTCGACTGAAGGTCGACGGTAATTAGGAATTACAAAATTTACCAAAATATTACAAATTTAACAGGAGACAAATAATCTATTAAAATGGGGGTTAGGTAAAATTGGTTTAACCCTTAAAAATCTAGCGTTTCATTTAAGAATTTTAATTTACTGACCTACTTACAGTTTTACAATATCCTCAATTATAACGCTTGAGACGCTTCAAGTGCACTTCGTTCACACAATATTATAATAATTCAAAATAGTCGTCACAATTTTAATACAACAATATATGTCGACTTGAAAGATAAGAGCACGAAACAAGAGTGAAAAAGCGTGTCCACGCCAGCGTCTCGTTAAAAAGTCACGTGACGACTGTTACAATATATATAAAAGGGACATTCCCTGGCTGATGCCAATTATTGGGAAGAAATTTATAAAACATTATTAGTAAGTAATTGAATTTTGCAGAAGAATGTTGATATTTACAAAAATAATTGAAATTTTGAAGAGAATTAAAAAAAAAGTTTTTGAAAATAATTGAATTTCTGTGAAGAATTTTTCTACTTTTAAAGATAATTTAAATTTGCAAAAAATTTTATCAGAAGTTTTGAAAATAATTAAATTTCCAAGATGAATTTTATTGTTTTTGAAGATAATAAACATTTTAACGAGAAATTAAAAAAAAATTTTGAAAATAATTTAATTTCTGCGAAGAATTTTATTACTTTTGAAAATAATTAAATTTGTAGGATAAATTTTATCTTTTAAAAAGATAATTGAAAATTTGACAAGAATATTATTACGATTCTTTGCAATGAATTGAATTGAATTTCTTGAGAAAAATTTTAGTAATAATTGAAAATAATTGAATTCTTACGATAAATTTGATGAATTTTCGAAAATAATTGATTTCATGCGAAGAGTTCAATTATTTTTTGAAAATAATTCAATTCCTGTGAAGAATTTTATTAATTTATAAAAAAAATTACTGTCAAGAATTTTAAAGTTTTTAAAAATAATTAAATTCTTGTAAAGAATTTTATTAATTTTAAAAAATAATTGAATTCCTGTGAATAATTTTATTAATTTTGGCAGATAATTGTTTTAAAAATAATTGAATTATTACAAATATTTTTTATTAATATTTGAAAATAATTGAATTCAGAAGAAGAATTTTATTTCAAATTTGTGAAAATAATTAAATTTTTGCGAAGAATTTTATTATTTTTGAAGATAATTGAATTTCTGCGAAGAATTTTATTACTTTTGAAAATAATTGAATTTCAGAGAAGAATTTTATTATTTATAAAGTTTTTTGAAATTTTGACAAGAATTTTATTAAAATTTTTGTTAAATAATTGAATTTCGGAGAAGAATTTTATTATTTATAAAAATAATTGACATTTTAAAGAGAATTTTTAAAAAAATGTTAAAAATACCTAATTAAAATTTTGCTATGAATTTTATTCAATTTTTTAAAATTTTATTCCGGATTGTTTGATATTAATGTATCTGTTGTCGAAAAATGTGATTTTTTTTACAATTTTGTCAATTTCGTGTTTCCTTTTTGTCGTTTTTTCTTAAACTTCATGCGACTTTTTTTTGAAATTTTATGCGACTTTTCGTGACTTTTGTTGTTGTAAATTTATGCGACTAAAGCGACTTTTTTTTATTCTTAAAGACCATCCGGGCCCTGTTATAGTCAAGGTTGGGCCATTGTCTGAAAACCTGTATCCTTTATTGTTCATAAAAGTTGTAAAGTGTTAATAACAAAGTTTTATATATATAAACACGTTTTTCCGCCATATTGGATCCGCCATTTTGGATTTTTCAAATCTAATGCCAGATCTATAATCAGGGACCTCAAAAACTCTCGAGTAACAAATTTTAATAATATCCAATTAGTTTTTTAATTTTCGTCTGCCATATTGGATCCGCCATTTTGAATTTTTGAAATCTGATGCCACATTCGTATACAACGACCCCAAAAACGATAAGAACTACATACGTAAAATATTAAATTGTTTAAATTTTTTTTAAAAATAATAGTGAAAAGTAACAATTTCTGAAACGTGCCACCCAAAATTTTAAAAATTTTCTTTTGTCTTAAATGTTAATTTTTACATAGCGCTTAATATAAAGATCACTTTGTAAAAAGATTTTGCAAACAAAAATTTTAATATTCTTGTTTATCGAATATTTTTACTAACTTTTTTTTTAAAAATAAATTTCAGAAAAAATTGTTGACCTTTGAAAAAAAATTTTCATTTGAAATTTGAATTTAAGAAAAAAATAGTTGCTGGTTAAATCATTAAAATCGATCTAGAATATTTTCTGAAATTTATTTTTTTAAAAAAGTAAAAATATTCCATTGTTAATAACAAGGGTAGAAATTTCTTTTTTTGGTAAAATCCTTTTACATAGTGATTCTTTATATAAAATGCTACATGGATATTAATATTTAGAAAAAATTGCAAATTTTCAAATATTGGATGACGCGTTTCAGAAATTTTTACTTTGAATTAATATTTTTTTAGAGAAGAGAAGGACGTCTTGAAGGAGCAAGTGACCACGTTGACAACACAAGTGGAAGCCGCTAATGTCGTCGTACGAAAATTAGAAGAAAAAGAACGTCTGCTGCAAAATTCTCTAGCAACTGTCGAAAAAGAACTCGCGCTGCGACAACAAGCCATGGAAATGCACAAACGAAAAGCAATTGAAAGTGCACAATCGGCTGCTGATCTTAAGCTCCATCTAGGTAATTTATTTTATAGTTAATATTAGTTATTTTTTATTACTTTTTATTACTTTCCGTTTCGCAGTGTTTTCTTTATAGATTAATTTGAGAAATTGTAATTGTAAATTGTAAATTGTAATTGTAAATTGTAATTGTAAATTTGAGAAAGTGTAACGTGCTTTTTTAATTTTAGAAAAATACCATTCTCAAATGAAAGAAGCGCAGCAAGTTGTTGCTGAGAAAACGAGTTCCCTGGAAGCTGAGGCATATAAAACGAAGCGCTTACAGGTAAATTTTTCTATACATATTCTTTTTAAAAATTTTATAGTTTTTTCTTAAAACGGTGATCACTGTTGGTCCACTTTTCTATCTAATCCTCTTTGTCCCTTTTTTATACCCTTAAATTTATAAAATTTCTTAAATCCCCTTCTTCCCCTTTTTTATACCGTCAAATTAATCATTAACGAAATCTCTTAAAATACCTAAAATCATGTACATATTCTCCTCTTTTCTCCTTTTTGTAGAAAAATTGCCATTTTTTGTAAATTAAAAATTTTCAGTTATTTTGAAAAAAAATTCCCACTTTTTGCAAACTTTAGAAAAGTTTTAGTTTTTAAACTTAGACATCTTCTTATAATATTTTTTCAGAGTTTTGAAACTTTGATTTTTTAATACAAGACAATAAATATAAAATAACTATTACTAAGTTAAAAGTATATTTTACTATTTTTTACTTCAATTTATTTCGAATTTTATAAAATTATTTAACATTGTTTATTACGGAAATAACGATTTGAATGTAAATTTTACTTTTTGCATAGTTAATTTTTGTGTAAATAATAATAATAATAATAATAATAATAATTTTTTATTTTTGTAAAGTTCAATTATTTCTAGTATAGTGAAATTCCTAAAATTTAAAAAGAAAAGTTTTACAACAATTTGTTATTTAATTTGAAAATTTCCCTTTTTTAATATGAATCCCCTTTTAAAAAATTAAAATCCCCTTTTTTATTTAATTTTACATGAAATAAAAAAAATTAATAGTTTTTTGACTTACCTTAAGCATTTCCTTAGAATGTCATTAGCTTTAGAATTTTATAATTGTGAATTTTTGTGAATTATATATTTTCTGAACGTTCAAAACAACAAATCTATTGTCAATATAAATTTAACCATTTTTCTTTTCTTTTTCTTTTGAAAAACTTTAAATTTTAATAAAATTTTTTGAAAGAAATGAAATATTTTTAATAGCATTTGAATTAAATTATTATATTCTTTCAAATTTTGATAAAATAATTAGAAAAAACGTCAATTATTTTTAAAAAATTTAATAAAATTCAATGCAAGAATTCAATTATTTTTATTACTAAAATTTTCACAGCAATACAATTATTCGAAATTCAATTTTCAAAAAAAATCAGTTGTTTAAAATATTTTAATAAAAAAAATTTAATAAAATTCGATGCCAGAATTCAATTATTTTTATAAATAAACTTTTCACAAGAATTCAATTATTTGAAATTAAATAAAAAAATTTAATCTCTTGATTGATCTTTTTTGAAAAATCTAATTTTTCTAATTTTTGTTAATCGACTAAAATAAGTTCTTTATTTTTAAAATTTAATTTTTTTAAATACTTACTTTTTTCATTCTTCAAGATACTTTTTCTACTTTTTTAAAATTAAATATTGAGTGCGAAGCCCTAGTGTGAACTAAATATTTAGAAATTTTTTAACTTATTCTCTAATACGTTGCGGAAAATTCTTTAAATAAATTTTGAATTTAAAGAAAAAAAAATAAACTTTGTTCATTTGAACGTTCAGAACTTTAGGGACTCTAGAAATTAAAAAACTTTCTTTATTCTATTAAAAATATTGAATTTTATTTTTAAAATGTAGATTAAATTGTTTAAAACTAAAGCTAAAACTGTACAACTAATATTAATATTTACAAATTTAAAAATTAATTTTAAAAAATAAAAAAAAGACCGATAATAGAAGATAAAAATATTTAAAAATCTAAAAGCTTAAAATGTGTAAAACTGAAACTTTACAACTAGTAATATTTACCAAATTAAAAATTAATTTTGAAAAACGAAAAAACCGATAATAGAAAATAAAAATATTTAAAAATCAAAAAATTTAAATTGTTTAAAACTTAAACTCTAGAACTAATAATATTTACAAAAATAAAATTTAATTTTAAAGAAACAAAAAACCGATAATAGAAGATAACAATTTTTTAAAATCTACATTTTTTTAAAGGAGGAAATTGCGCAACTTCGAAGAAAGGTGGAACGTATGAAGAAGATTGAATTGGCCGAGACGGTGGACGAAGTAATGGCCGAAGAACTTCGAGAGTACAAAGAAACATTAACATGTCCCTCGTGCAAAGTAAAGAGAAAAGACGCCGTTTTAACGAAATGCTTCCACGTATTTTGTTGGGACTGTTTGCGCACTCGCTACGAAACTCGACAACGCAAATGTCCAAAATGCAATTGTGCCTTTGGGGCTAATGACTATCATAGACTTTATCTTTCCACATGAGAGAAAAAACGTCGGTCTTAAATTTAATTTGATACCTATTGTAAATACGTGTATTACGTGTATGATCGAAAACATTCGGTTTCTTTCTACTTTCTTACTATTATTATTATTATTTTTATTTTCCACTAGTTATTCATTTACGCAGACAAAAATTCAAGCAGTGAATTACAATTAAATGTATGTAGTTGTGTATTGAAATTAGTAATTTATGCAGTAAAATAATTATCATATTTAATTTTTAGCGTTTTATTTATCAAATGATAAAATTCTACATTCTTTTACAAACTTATTGAAAAAGTTATACTTAATACTAAATCATAATTTTTATTTATCAATTTGTAAGATTAACATTTTTTTTAAACTTAAATCTTCATTCTTTTATATACTTATTGAAAATGTTACTTAATACTAAATCATAATTTTTATTTATCAATTTGTAAGATTAACATTTTTCTTTAAACTTAAATCTTCATTCTTTTACAAACTTATTGAAAATGTTACTTAATACGAAATTATAATTTTTATTTATCAATTTGTAAGATTAACTTTTTTTTAAAACTTAAACCTTCAACTTTATTCCATTTCTTCATCAATGGAAACGCTATTCGACGTGACAGTTGGTAAGTAGGGTTCGTACTTCCATTTGGGAAAAACTCTCTTGTAGAGTTTCATCAATATTGTGTCTTGAGATTTCAATTGTCCATCGAAGTGACATTTCATGTGGCCATGTGTTCCTAGAAATAAAAAAAATTGGGTCAGTCCATTATATTTCATCTGAAGCCGTTGCGGCCTATTTTTAAAAAAATCTCATAATTTGTAAAAATGATGTTTAATATCCATAAAATTCATTTTTGAGAATTATTTTATAAAATATTTTGAATTTAACTTAGAATTTTAATTTTTAAATTGAGTTGGACAGAAAAAAGGTTAGATTGACAGTTATGAAAATTTAATAAAAAAGCATGGAAATAATTTAGATAATACAAATTTCTAGATTGATATTTGTTAAAAATGGGCTAATTTACTTGTATAAATAGATTATAATGTAAACATACCCAAAATAATAGATAAAAATTGATTTTAAAATTTACCTATGAAATGTCGAAAGTCACTACATTTTAATTAAATTTTTCTAAAAAGTTTATAAATATTAAAAAATTTATTACTATTTAATGTTAAGTATTTTCAATGTACTTTCATAATATGTGGTAACTTTTTAATTTTATAGTATAGAAATATGAAAAATTTTACCTTTAATATTGAGTGTTTCATGTTTTTTATTGATTTTAATTACTTATTTCTTCTCAGGTGCAAGACTAAAAAATCCAATTTTTGTCTTAATATTTAAGTTTGAACTTCTTTTCCATTCTATTAAATTTTGGTGATGGAGAACGAGCTACTTTTCATTTTAAATTTAGTTTAAAAAATCTGCTGAAAAAAAGAATTTGTTGGTTAAAATGCAAGTAGATTTTTGCATGACTATTGAGATAGCCAACTTCAGTGTTATAAAATTACCTGCATTTTAACCAACAATTTCGTTTTTTCAGCAGATTTTTTAAAGTAAATTTAAAATGAAAAGTAGCTCGTTCTCCATCACCAAAATTTAATAGAATGGAAAAGAAGTTCAAACTTAAATATTAAGACAAAAATTGGATTTTTTAGTCTTGCACCTGAGAAGAAATAAGTAATTAAAATCAATGAAAATCATGAAACACTCAATATTAAAGGTAAAATATTTCATATTTCTATAGTATAAAATTAAAAAGTTAGCACATATTATGAAAGTACATTGAAAATACTTTACATTAAGTAGTAATAAATTTTTTAATATTTATAAACTTTTTAGAAAGATGTAATTAAAATGTAGTGACTTTTGAAATTTCATAGTAAAGTTTTAAAATTAATTTTTATTTATTATTTTGAGTATGTTTACATAAAAATCTATTTATACAAATAAATTAGCTCATTTTTAACAAATATCAATCAAGAAATTTGTATTATCTAAATTATTTCCATGCTTCTTTATTAAATTTACATAACTGTCAATCTAACCTTTTTTCTGTCCAACTCAATTTAAAAATTAAAATTCTAAGTTAAATTCAAAAAATTTTATAAAATAATTCTCAAAAATGAATTTTGTGGATATTAAACATCATTTTTACAAATTATGAGATTTTTTTAAAAATAGGCCGCAACAGCTTCAGGTGAAATATAATGGACTGACCCAATTATATTAATTTTAAAACTAAAATTTTATATTTACTATTAAATTTCATATTTAATTCATATGTTTTATGAATAACGTTTCTTTGTTTCATATTTATAATGTTATTTATAATTTCTTGTTATATTTATTGATTTAATTTTTAAAATATTCAAATTCAATTTTTATTCTTAAGATATTTTACATTAATAACATTTTTTTGTTTCACATTTAATGTTATTTATAATTTTTTGTTATATGTATTCATTTAATTTTTAAAATATTCAAACTTAAATTTTTATACTTAAGATACGCAAATAAACTAATGAGTGTATCCTAAAGCCCCCAAGTAAAAAGTTGAAAAAAATATTTTAATTTTTTAAAAAGCATGTCCTCTGTATTGGATTTGATATTTAAAATTTTTTCAAAAATCGTTTCAAAATTCGTAATCAGCAAAGTTGCAAAAAATTTAAAAACAAAAATTACAATAAGACTATAAGTTATGTTAACCCTTTAAAGCCCGTTTTTTTAAATTAATACAATTTTCGTCATAACCTCCTTATTTAGAGGTTTTCTACGTCGTTGATTACGAAGTCGATATCATATTCAAGAAAATTTTTAAATTCGAAACTCTTCATTTTGTATTTTGAAAAACTAACATCAGATTCGTAATCAGCGAACCCGAAAACCTCATAGTAACAGGATTCAGGTCAAATGGATAGATTTTCAAAAAAGTTGTCCGACATTTTGGATCCGCCATTTTAGATTTTGTAAATTTTTTTATTGGACTACTGTAAACCTAGACAGTGGCAAACAATCGAAGTGTTTCTTCTCTATTATTAACGACATTAAATATTTAAATTGTAAACTCTACTCTGATTTTAAATGTTAAGGGTTCTACATATCTAATTAAAACTGGTAACCATTTCTTATTGCTTATATCACTGGTTTCATCTACATATACTGAAAAAGGGGTTTCTTTTAAAACATTAGCAATTCAATTTTCCTCGACTTTGCAGAGAACATTATTTGCAATAGCAGTCTTTTTAGACCGACCTAATTTTACTGCTTTTAGTACGAGAGGATCCATATCCTTGAAAATCTGAATTACTTCTGAAGACACTTTAAATGGTATGTTATGTTCCAAAAATAATGCAGTTATTATGATTAGTTACTGCAACTTCCTGATCACGATCTGAATGGTTAGTTAGAGTAGCCTCTTCATTTCGATTTAAGATTTAAAGATTTCGATTTTTCATAAAATTTAAGATTTGTTTGATGCATAGAAGAAGACTCATGTCTTTTAATATTTGCCTTTCCACAAATCATTACTTTAGAACAAATTTTTCACTGATATTTCGTTTTATCGGCTACTCTGATTAACCATTCTCTCCATGAAGTAAATTCGCCAAACCAAGATTCCTGAAAATACGTACAAGAAATGGGAAGACGGTTGTTAAAGTTCTTGATACAGTTTTTGATCGTTGGGGTACACCTAACGCCGTTGTGACTGATAACGGAAAGGAATTTGTTAATGGGGAAGTGGGATCATACTTGAAAGCAAGAGGGGTTAAACAAATAACAACACCGATAAAACACCTTCAAGCTAATCCGGTCGAAAGGTTTAATCGAACCATTAAAACTATGATCGCTGCCTTCCTAATGCATGATCACAAAGAGTGAGATGAAAATTTATCAAAGTTACAATTGGTATACAATACGGTACCACATACAGGAACTAGGATCTCTCCTTTCTTTTTAATCCACGGGAGGGAGGCTATCGTAAAAAACTTGAGACAGTCGACTGATAAGGACTTGGACTGAGCTGAAGAATGGTATGGAGGTTTACTATCCAAACAAAAAGTTAAGTCAACCAATTGGAGAATTTGCAGCTTCAGAAGAAGATAATGGAGGAGGCAATGACGACGTTACAAAAGAATTTCGAGGCTCAAAGGCGTGAGTTGGAGTATCTCAAGGGGAAAGGTAATCAGAACAGGTCAACATGTTTCTATCAAAAATTCGAAATTGGAAGTCATCTCAGCTTAAGGTGAGAAGAGTGGAAAGAGTCTACCCAGATCAAATACAGGCTGAGAACGAGAGGAGGAAAAGGTCGTCAAATGACAACCATCCTATGCAAAAATCCAAGACAACGGAGAAACAACTGACAATGGTCAATTTTCCTGGAGTGGAATTGGCACCATCGGTTCCGGAGAAACCACTTCCATTCTGTCTACCTAGCTTTTGTGAGGTAATATAGGAACTTGGAGTGGGAGGATTATTGAATCCAGAAGACGCTCAACAACCATTATACTTTGTCGACTGTAGAATCATTAGCCAGGAACTTCTGCGCGATATGATTACTATGAGAGCAAGGCTGCTTTTTGAGAAAAAGGAGTCCAAGATGGTGGATCGTTCAACCCAGACCAATGTTACTCAAGTTGCCAAGCAAATTGTACCAGGATGTGTCAACTGCAGATCACGGGAACATAAATTTAGAGAATGTCCATTACCATATCACCCAAGCTTCTGTACTTTTTGCGGAGCGGAAGGATATGACACGGTGGCTTGCATATTTCCCCACGGAGTCGAACATGAGCAAATTCTGGGACGCTGTACCGCCTGCGGAAGAGACGAATTTCAGTACTGTCCAGGGGTCGATTCTTTAACTTTCCTACTCCCACTTCACACTCTCACTTTCCACTTCCCACCTTTCACACTTACTTTCCACTCCCACTTCACATTCTCACTTCCCACTTTCTACTTCCACTTCCCACCTTCCACTCTCACACACCATTCTCACTTCCCCCTTCAGCCCTAAGCACAATTGAGTCGGGTGCTTGAGACGACTGCGGGATATGGGCTTCCTAACCTCAAAATATATGTAAATGTTACATATCCCGTAACCGTCTCCCGAACCAGACTCAGTTGTGCTTAGGCCTTTCCAATCTCACACACCAATCCCACTTTTAAATGAAACTGTGATTAACGATGAGAGGAAGGTGGGAAGTGGGAGTGAAAGGTGGGAAGTGTATAGTGAGAGTGGGCAGTGGAAGGTGGGACGTGAGAGTGGAAAGAGGACTGGAAAGTAGGAAGTGGAAGGAGGGAGTGGGAAGCGGAAGGTGGAAAGTGAATAGTGAGAGAGGAAAGTGGGCAGTGGAAGGTGGGACGTGAGAGTGGAAAGTGGGACTGGAAAGTAGGAAGTGGAAGGTGGGAGTGGGAAGCGGAAGGTGGAAAGTGAATAGTGAGAATGGATAGTGGGAAGTAGGTGTGGAAAGTGAGAGTGAATAGTGGGAGTGGAAAGTAGGAGGTAGGTGTGGGAAGTAAGAGTGAATAGTGGGAGTGGGAAGTGAGGGTGGAAAGTTACAGAGTCGACCCCCAGAGTGTCCTGACTGCAACATCAGACATGCAGGCTTGGTCGACTATTTGCGGTTAAATTATGCAACATGACCGACTTTTATTTTATGGTTCCAGCGGATCATCGGTATATGATCGATGATAAAATCAAAGATTTGAGGCACCGAATAAAGGCGAAGTTCAACGACAAATCTGAATTGCCTAAAAAAATTAGGAAGTTTTTAATCAGAGAAAACGCTTTGAAATCAGTCAACGATTTTTAATAAAATAAAGTCATATTAGAAGTCAAATAAAGTCGTTATTAGAACTTTCTGAAGAGAAATTCCAGAGAGCCATTCGTGCATTGCTTACTCCACAGACCATCAAGTCTTTGAATGAGATTATGGAGGAACTTCCAGAGTGAGGCACAGTTCATCGAAGGATTAAAAGATGTTCTTTTTTGTTTCATATTACGAAGTCGAACGACTTAATGAAGATAATGTTTATTTTTTGTACTTACATACATACAGATAAGTTTTGTTTAAATTTCGACGAAGTCGAATGACTTAAAAGAGATAATATTTATTTTTATACTTAAATATAGAAACGTTTTGTTTAATTCTTTAATTTTGTAAATGGTCGACAATAAAAACTAAAATTCCACAATATTACATTGAGCGTTTAATGTGAGGAACCTACTTAACATTTTTATTATTTTGATTTTTATTTGTTTTTATATATATGTATTTTTTGAACTAACGTATGATTTGAATTGTTTCAGTTAGTAATTGTTTAGTTAGACGAATTTAATTGTATCGTCACGCGTTGTCGACAAAACCGCATTCTTAGGTCGTCCACGTGTTGTGAGAAATTTGGAAAGATTGAATGTGTTGTGGCCACCTAACGAGAGAAATATCGAATTGAATTTATAATATTTATAATAATGAATCAGATTTATAATTACTATTACATTTTTCCCATTTTTCTTTTAATAAAATTTGTTAAAGTCTCCTAAAATGAAAGTTCTTGTAATTTTACCCTGTCGACCTTCTGTCGACTGGCATGGCGCCCGCGGTTTATTATTTTAATTTAATTAATTAATTATTATAACATTTAAATTGAAGCCACACAGTCACGAACTCGACCGCGTGAGGCGTCGAATTTTATTAGATTATTCACACATAAATAAAATTCCTGTTTCAATTTCTTGGGTAAAAACTTTAATAAAAAACCAATTAATAATAGAAGTGTAGTTGATTAAATAATATTTATTCATTAGTTTCAGTGAATAGGTAATACAATATTGATTTACTGCTATTTCCTCTGTGTATGACATCGTGACTCCGAGTATTATATTTTGTATTACTTTTACATAACAATATTTCTCTTATCATTAGTAAACCTAACGTCCCTGGTTAGTAAGGTCTTATTTCTTCAGAGTAGTACAAAATGCTCAAGTTATTTTTTTCAAACAATTTCCTTCTCACAAGACAGTTATTTATTACACTAATGCAAAAATTTGAAAATAAAAATTTCTAAAGAAAATACAACAACAGAAAGTGAATATCCCAGAATAGATATCCCTATTATAAGTAAAAGAAGTTTCTTCTCTGTAGTTGGAAAAATTTCTTTCAGATCGTAATCTATATTCGGCGTACTGAAAAAACGTGTGTCATCCTGCTTCCACTTTTCAACTAAACCAGCTTGTGCCGCTCTTTGCAAAATGTATTCAAACCTTAGGGAATACGGTGAATTAATTTCAAGATAAATGGCACTTCAGGTAGTAGACATACTTTCTTTAACAATTTTAGTTTGTGGCTTTCCATTCTCATTTCTTGTGTTTCGAATAATTATTTCCGCCTCATTATTTTGCATTGTACAACTAATATTTCTATATTTTACAATGTGTTGTGCGCAAATGTCAACAAAATCTACAAATCCGATATGTTTTTTCGTAAACTCTCTTTTGATTTCATTGTCTGCAAAAGTATTACCAACTCGATTTATCCCTAGAAATCCAATTGGCTGCAAATAAGATTCATGTACGTCCCTGATTGTATCAAAAATTAATTCTTTCTCATTGCTAAATTTCAGGCCCGTCAATGCTCCAAATAAGTTCGAAGAAATTACAGTACTTACAATGAGTAAATAACAATAAATTAATCTCTCTCTTAATTTCCGCGGTTCCCGAGGAGCACACAATTGTAGAATCATCTGGATAATGTACATAAGTTTCCAGTTGTGACGGTCAAATTTCAAAATTCTAGTAATTATCCAAACTGACAGCAGAATTATGAGGATCATTGGAGTAGTCAGGGAAAATAATAATTTTCCCTCAATCTCCTTATCATTTTCCATTATAATAGGAACAAGAACGATTATTTCTATCCTACCCAAAATCACGTAACTGTACTCGCAATTACGAAGCAATAATGAATTAAAAGCAGCAATTTGAATCTTATTGTATGCTAGTTGGTTAAAATAACCAGTTGTACGACTTTTGTTGTAGCAGTCAAATGTTCCAAAAGCTTTTTCATTTGATGGAACAAATGCGAGTTTAAAATTCATCACTTGCGATAAAAGTCTAGCATATGAAATAACAAAACCTCTCATTTCTACAGGATAACCAGTTGCATTCATTTTTACATAATTTGTAAATGGTTGATTGTACGTACCAAATTTTATCTTATATCCATTTAAATTATGTAACTTATCAGAAAACATTTCGACACTAGTGGAACAATTTTTGTATGTAGTTTTCTTCAAATAAGGATTAAATTGATGGACATTAGCAAAAAATTGTTCATTACTCAGTAATGAATTTTTAGTTTTATCTTCATTTTCTGCCACAATGTGTAGAATCGTTACATCCAAGAATTTCTTATTCCACATGGTGGTCAGAAATTTTTCAAATCTTAAATCCCTTTGTTTTGAATAAAGAAGAAACAAGCATGTTGGATGTCCATTCTTATAAGATGCTGACTTTATTAAATTGATTGCTTTAGTCAGTTTTGTAACATCTTCAGATGTTTCAATGTAATTAACGATTACGAACAATGTCGTTAATTCCGGTTCTTTCACCATTCGAATCATTTTTGAATGTATAAGTAGTTCCTCTGTAGAATTTCGAAAATCTACCTGCAGTACAGATGTTTTACTCATCAAAAGCGATAATATTTCTTCGTTATTTACTTTTTCGGTATTATTCGTAAAGATCATTACTTGATGAAATGTATTTAATTCTGTCTTCAAAAATGCTTTTAAGCACATTAAACATTGTGAGAGATTTAAGTTATTATTACTACTTTCACAAATACAAAGTAAACTCAATAGGAATAAAAATGCTATCTTCATTTCTTGAAATATTTGAAATTGAATTAACTTCAATTCTATGCAGTTTGTTACTGAAATTAAAAGAAGAATATATACTTATTACAATGGCTCTTAAAACATTTAATTGGAGCTAAAAAAATAATTACTACCCTACCGTCAAAAATTGTTAGTGGATTGAAACACAGCTTTCCTAAAATCAAAATATCTTGAACAAAAATTAAGATGGTGACTTAAACATTATGGACTTGGAAGGCTTATAAAATTTTGCATCAGACATTAATTTCAGGAAGAAAATAATTTGAGTTCCAAATTTTTCATATCATTTTTATAGATCAAGAAACGAGCTGAACATATCAAAAGATTATTGAAAATTTACACAATATTGTTCTATAAAGTTTTAAATACTATTATAATTTTGAAAACCTAAAAAATATTCGCCAGAATTTATCTGACGCATAATTTTATTAACTTCCCAAATCCGTAAGATTTATGTCACTTGCTAGATTTTTGATTAAGAATTCGTAATTGTAGTGGAGCTGTGTAATTTATATTTCACCGAATAGTTCAAGAATTGTTTTTCTAAAACTTACGTTTATATTTCGTGCTTGGTAATAAATCGTTGTCTCTTTATCAAATAAAGTATCATCATTGTAGTAAACTTAATTTTAATGAAAAGATGTTTGCAGTATTTAGTTTAAAATTTATAATATGCTTAACATTAAGTAGTAATTTTATAATTGTTAACTACAAAGGAAAACTTTTGCTCACACTTGATAAGTTCGTATTGAACTGATTAGAAACGAATTTTATAAAAAATGAATTTGCTGAAGATAAACAATAAGGAATCTTTTCTATTAGTTAAAAAGTATTATTGCCTAAGTGAAAAAGAACAGTTTTTTCAAATTGAAATTTGTTTCTGAAGATGTAATGGTCAAGGTCAAGGTCCATCGATTTTTTCCATCTTTCATATCAAATTTAAGTTCAGTAGTTTTGTAATTGTAAATCCCTGTAAGTGTGTATATTTCATAATAGAATTTGTCATACAAATCTATCTAAATATGAAACTGTTTAAATATCAAAATTTTTTTAAAAGAAAAAATACTACAAAGTTTTTTTAAACGTAAGAATAAATGAAATTTTTATATCGATATGTATTTTGAAAGGTAATCTGTTATGCGGTCAAGGTGTATTGATTTTATTTCAACAAATATCAAAACTGAATTGTAAATATATTTTCTTTCAATAAAGGCATTCTTCTAAAGTAAAAAATGTTATCGAATAGAAATTAATAATTAAGATTAACCCTTTAATGCCCAGTGGAACACATACGTCCCACAGTGGGCAGAAACTTTGTGGAACTCAAATCTGATAGTGGTTTTCAAAAATTCAAAATGACAGATATAAATTGTAAAATGTTATTAAATTTGCTTAAAACTCGTTACTTAAAAAACGTTTTCATATATCAATCGGTCATTTTAATATTAATTAACTTTATATTCTTGTTTAACATGATTAAATGTTTAGGTTCAGTTTTTAAGAGAGTTATTTTTATTATTGCTTCCTCGTGAGGAAGCTTTGTAGTCGTTTAATTTACAAAATTTTTAAAAATCCTTTTAACAAATTTTCTTCTATATGGGACTATGTTATATAAGACCCTGAACAATTGTCCGGATGTATGTATGGGTGTGTGTATGTGTGTGTGGATCCCGATTTTTGTGAACACGATAACTCGAAGAGGTTTTAACGAATTTGGCTAAAATTTACCAAGTGTATTTATCATCAAAATATCTCGAAATGGATTGATAGACTTTAAAAAATTCTCAAAAAAAATTTTTTTTTGACTTTTTTGTAAAAAAAATTTAAAAAAAATTTTTTTTTTAAGTTGGTTATTGAAGTTAATATATAATAAAATCTTATCAAGACGAGTCGATTGGTATATAAAAAGTATAAATTGTATGAGAATTTACAGAGTTAATCACAATTAAAGCTGAAAAATTCGCATTTTTATCAAAAAATGAGTTCTTTTCGCAAAATTATGTTGCCGTATAAGAAAATCTTACTCATTTATTTCTAAAATCTTATTCTTTGCACCAAGATGGATCGATTGCTATATATAAAGTATATATTGTACTTAAATTTATAGAATTAAAACCAATTATAGACAAAAAATTTGAACTTTTAATATAAATTCATTTTTTCTTAAAAACCATGTTGCTGTACAATAAAATATTATTTATTGAGAAATGAATCAAAAATCTTATTCTTTGCATTAAGACGAATCGCTTGATGTATATAAAGTGTATATTCTATTGAAAATTATAGAATTAATTACAATTAAAGTTGAAAAATTCACTTTTTTACTAAAAAATTTTTTGTTTATTTAGATTTATATTACTGTATAAGAAAATTTTATTCTTTTTATTAAGAGGAATGAACTTTATTTTATAAATGTTAAATTATATTAAAAATGATTTAAAAATGAAATATATTTATCCTTAATCCTTCCTCCACGGGGAAGCAAATTTTTTTTGCTGATCGTAAAGAGGAAGCAAAATGTTCATGTAATGAAAATCTGGATTTACAACTTTTTTCTTAGTCCTGCAGGCAAAACATTATTGTTTTATCTCGAAGTGTCAAGTTTGCAATGATTTTTTATAGGTTAGAAATCTTTTTTTAATTCTCCATATTTTCCCTCTACTCCTGAGTAAGTAATCTTTCATTTCCTTTTTCATTTATGAAAATTAGCCAAGTCATTCATATTTGTTTACTATAATATTCTTAAAACAAGATTTTATCAGTTGATATAGTTTGAAACGCGCCTCATGGCTAGAGGAACATTAAATTTGGAAATAATGTCCATTTAAATTTAATTTATTAATTTGTATAATTCATTAAATTATAATTTAAATATAATAGAGAGAGAAGAGAAGAATAAGTTGTGTTAAAAAACGATGTCGACTTGCAGATCTCGACAGTTCGCATGCTGCCGGTCTATGAGGAGCATCTCGAGACTACGCTCCCATCTTCAATGGGTGCATCAAAGATTAAATAGAATGAAGTCCGGCTAGTTTTAAATGATACATTGCCGGTCAAAATTGAGAGACCACCCATTTTCAAGTGAATTAAATACATTTTAAAACATAATATTTATGAAAACTAAAATTTTTTTCTTTTTATTTTTTGAAAGATTATAAAATTATAAAGAGAACAAAACCTTACAGAAGTCATTTGGCCGGTATTTTATTTAGATGTTTTTAAAAAATCGTCATTTTCAATGTTTTACAAAAATTTGTATAACTTCTAAAACAATGAACGCTTTTTAATGATATTAGGTTTATTTTAAAGTTTATTCTCTACAGTACGAAAATTACTTATAGGTATTAAAGTGCAATTTTTTCTTAGAAAATGCAGGTCGTCAAAGTAAGCCAAAAAATTTCTAGAAATTTGTAATAGTTTTTTTGTACTAAAAACTATTCTAGAAAATATATAAAACATGATATGCTGTAGATTTTTCAAGAGAATTTGATACAAAAAATATGTTTGAATTTAAAAATTTATTTTTCTGTTAATAAGATTCTTTCAAATTTTTTTGTTCCAAGTTTGACGACCTGCATCAACCAACGCTAATTCTTTTTTATTACTAGTTATTATTAATTATTTATGACATGCTTAAAAGTTATGAAACATTTATGCTCTTACTCATATCTTTAGGCTTCATTTTTTTAGTTTTTCTTTCTTTACATTTTCATTTTTCGCATTTACAATTTTATTTTCGTTTAGTCCGTCAGACGGAGTCATTTTTATTATTTTCATTTAAATGTCCTTTGTCAGAAGATATTATGTGTTACAATACTTTATTGTAATCTTAGTTCAGTAGTTATTTATTTATTTTTTATTTTTTTATTTATTTATTTATTTTTATTCGTAGTTATTTTGATGAAATCTAATTTACTTAATGGGAGTATCATTTAAAATGTAGAGCTGGAATATAAAGCCCAGTAGCAGATCATTTCGTCATTGAACAAATAAAATTATTTAATAGGAAGCTAAAAGACTGGACGATTTTTGGTAGAATCTACTATTGTCAAAGAGATTTGAAGCAGATTCAGGAAATTCACAAAATATTTTAAAACTTTTATTTCTTAATTCTTGGGTAAAAACTCTAATAAGAGACAAAATAATAATAAAAGTGTAGTTGATTTTATAATATTTATTCAATAGTATCAGTGACTAGGCATTACAATATTTATTTATTTCTCTTTTTTCTGTGTACGACATCGTGATCCCGAGTATTACAGTTTGTATTCCCTTTATGTAAAAATATTCCTCTCATTTGTATACCTTACGTCCCTGATTAGTAGAGTCTAGTTTTTTCAAAGAAGTACAAAATGCTTAAGTTATATTTTAAAACAATTTCCTGCTTACAAGACAATTAATTGTTACATTAATGCAAAAATTTAAAAATCAAAATTTCTAAAGTAAATGCAACAATAGAAAGTGAGCATCCCAAGATAGATATTCCTAACATAACTAAAAGAAGTTTGTTTTCGGTAGTTAGAAAATTTTCTTTTAAATCGTAATCCATGTTCGGTTTACTAAAAAAACGTGTGTCGTCTTTCTTCCATTTTTCAACTAAACCAGCTTGTGCAGCTCTTTGCAAAATGTATTCAAACCTTAGTGAATACGGAGAATTAATTTCAAGATAAATGGCACTAAAGGCAATAGTCATACTTTCTTGAACAATTTTTGTTTGTGGCTTTCCATTCTCACTTCTTGTGTTTCTAATAATTATATCCGCCTCATTATTTTGCATTGTACAACTAATATTTTTATATTTTACAATGCGTTGTGCGCAAACTTCAACAAAATCTACATATCCGATATGTTTTTTCAAAAACTCTTCTTTCATTTCATTGTCTGCGAAAGTACTACCAAATTGATTCATCCCTAGAAATCCAATCGGCTGTAAATAAGATTCATGTACGTCATTGATTGTGTCGAAACTTAATTCTTTCTCATTGCTAAATTTTAAGCCCGTCAATGCTCCAAATAAATTCGAAGAAATTACAGTACTTACAATGAGTAAATAACAATAAATTAATCTCTCTCTTAACTTCCGTGGTTCCCGAGGAGCACACAATTGTAGAATCATCTGGATAATGTACATAAGTTTCCAAAAGTGACGGTCAAATTTCAAAATTCTAGTAATTATCCAAACTGACACCAGAACTAAGAGGCTCATTGCAGTAGTCAGAAAAAGTAATAATTTTCCCTCAATCTCCTTATCATTTTCCATT